ATACCACAGCTGCTTATAACCGGAGGGGTGGCAGTGGTGGTGGAAAGAGGCAGGGAGGCGTGTATGGGAATAAAGCAAGTGGCAATCTGTGGCTGGACTTGGCCACAAGTTAAGGAAGATCGGTTCAAGGAGGCTTGCAGTGTTCTCCCTGCCACAGAGAGGAAAAAGGATGGCTCTGTTCCGGACAGAAGCGAGCACTGAAAAGGCGGGGGGGGGGGGCTTGATGACATAGCCTATGCTTTGCTTGCAGAAGGTCCTATGTTCAGTCCTTAGCATCGTGGGCAGCAGGTGCTGGGAAAGCCCCATCTTTCCGTGGAAGCCCTGGATAGCTTCCATTAGTCAGAGGGGACAAGCAGAGCCCATTGGTCTGACCCAAGTAGAAGGTGCCTTCGGACGTGACTACTGATACGTAACCCCAAAGACTGGCCATGAAGGGGCAGTGTGTGGACTGCTCTTTAAGACTTTTTGACCCGATGAAAGGAAACCAACATAACAGCGTAAGAAGAGCCCTGCTGGATCAGACCAGTGGTCCATCAAGTTCAGCCTCCCGTCTCACACAGCAGCCAACCAGTTCCTCTGGATGGCCAACAACAGGTCATAGAGGCCAGGGCCTTTGTAAGAATATCAGAAGAGCCCTGCTGGATCAGACCAGTGGTCCATCTAGTCCAGGACATCCCTTCTCACACAGCAGCCAACCAGTCCCTCTGGAGGTCCGACAACAGAGCATAGAAACCAAGGCCTTCCCTTGATGTTGCCTCCTGGCTCTGGGATTCAGAGGTTGACTGTCTTTAAATGTGGAGGTTCTCTTTAATCACCAGCCGCTGATAGACCTATCCTCCGTAAATTTGTTGAATCCCATTTTAAAGCCATCCATGCCTGTGGCCATCACCGCATCCTGTGGCAGCAAATTCCACATTTTAATCACTCACTGGGTGCGTTCAGACGCGCCATTTCAGCCGGCATAAACTGTACCGGTTGGAACCGGTGCAGTTTATGCCGTCTGAAACGCGATCACACTTACCTCCTGTCTGCGGAGCCCATCATTGTATGCCCGTCCACACGCAGTGGGCATCGGCAGTTTTTTTTTTTTAACTCAATTTGCGCATGTGCATAGGCAGCCATCCACAGAATGGCGATCTTTGCGCATGCGCAAAAAACCCCGTCTTACATTTAAACTTTAAAGGTAAGGACTTACCTTTAAAGTTTAAAGAGCAAAGTAGCCTCCCTGAGGTCCCGGACGCCTCCGAAATGCTAAACTAAGGCCCTTTTCTTTTTTTAAAAAACAAATGCCAGGGCAAAGCTTCGCCCAAGCGCATATCGCCAACCTTTAAAAAAAATGGCGGGCGAAAATCGGAAGCCTCAGGCTTCTGAACGGAAGTGGCTCTGCAACGTTGGAGAGCGATCAGACGGGGGGGTTAAGCGATTACAACCGTTGTACTCAGGAGGATACCACCACTTGGGGACCTAGTGGCAGAGTACAACGGTTTAAAGGGCTTTGCAACGGTTAGGAAGGCAGATGTTCTACGTGTGAACACCGGTAAGTACACCGATTGCAACCGGCACCTATACCGTTGCAAACGCCGCGTCTGAACGCACCCACTGTGTAAAGAAGTATTCCCTTTTGTCCATCCTGAATTCACTGCCCACCAGCTTCATTGGATGCCCTTGAGTTCTAGTACGTTGGGAGAGGGGGGGAAATAGCGCCGTGCAGGATAATGTGTCCTAAGGCAGTTGCGTCCTGGGTTGGAGGGTCTCATGATTGCTGTGACTGTCAGCCTTGCGAACCAGTCCTCCAGAGCTGCACTTCGATATTCCTAAGCGATGTTTTCGCACTTCCGGCAGCCGCATGGGACAGCTTGAGCTGTTTTTGCAACTTGATCCCGAGGCACGAGAGCGGCTGTTCATACAGTGGTCCGTGGCTGCAGTCATTTCTGCAGTAATCCGTGTTAGTAGGAAACAACCACAGGGAAGGGGACAACTCTCTTCCCCTCACCCCCGAAAAAATATTATGCAGAACCGCAGAACCATGGAAGAAACCGAAAGCGAAGCCCAGCTTGGGCGCCTAACAAATGGGGATTTCTTTCTTTTCTGTTATCATGTCTGGGTTAGGTCTTGCTGCATTCATTTGTTTGCGTCATTTATAGTTTGCCTTCCTCACGCGGGCTCAAGATGGATCACTCAGAGTGAGTCAATACAGTCAGCAGGGTGGGACATTCAATAAACCATGCGATAGGATTCGGCCTGTAGAACCAACCTGAAGGCTAAAAGCAGAACTGAAGCAAAACAGAAGTGTTAACGTGACACGTTAAATGATGCGAAATCCCATAGCAGGATCCCAGTCTCAACAAGCTCCACATAGTAGTATAGACCACACTCCCTAATAATTTTTCTGAGTAACTTTGTCAATGTATAGTTGGTAGTAGTGGGAGACGACTGTGGAGGCTCGGTCTGTGGTTCCCATGCCTTTCATCGCTTTCCTAGTGTTGGCCTGGGCTTAGTTATTCTGTCTTCCACTCTGTCAGCCGAACCTTCCTGACAAGGGTTGTTGGGCAGGTAGGGGAATCCATGCATGGCTCTCGAGTACAGTAAGAACATAAGAACATTAGAGAAGCCGTGTTGGATCAGGTCAGTGGCCCATCCAGCCCGTCACTCTGTTTCACACAGTGGCCCAAACCCAGGGGCCATCAGGAAGTTTGCCAGCAAGGCCAGAACTCCAGAAGCCCTCCCACTGTTGCCCCTCAAGCACCAAGAATACAGAGCATCACTGCCCCAGACATGAGAATATAAGAGAAGCCATGTTGAATCAGGCCCATCCAGTCCAACGCTCTGTGTCACACAGTGGCCAAAAACCAGGTGCCATCAGGAGGTCTACCAGTGGGGCCAGAACTCCAGAAGCCCCTCCCACTGTTGCCCCCCCCCAGCACTAAGAATACAGAGCATAGTGTTCCACGGAGCTTGGAAAAGCTATTCTAATTGACTCTACTTTTAAAAAGATAACTTCATGGATTGTTTTTCCACCCCTTGTCGTGTGCCGTATATCTTCAAGGCTGGACGACCCCCCCCCCTTTCCTCTTTCGCCGTTGCTTAGCCAAGCTAGACAGATATAGCTCTTTTAATCTTCCCCAGACGTCAGTCCTTCCAGCCACCTGATCTGGTTGCTCCCTCCGATCTGTCAGTGTTGTTCGGATGCTGCCCATGTTCGGGGCTGCTATTCCTGTCTCCATTGCACCAGGCTTTTGAACAGGGGAATTGTCTGCTCCTTGTGTTTTGTAGGGGAGCTCAGTAGCCGTGACCTCAGATCTGGCAGAGTCGTCTTTCTTTTTCTCCTGCAGGAAATTACCCAATCTCTGTTCCTTTTTGGGGGGGGGGGGTCTCCCAAAAGCTTAAATTCTGCAAGAAGGAATCAATCACGAGCCCGAGTTGCACATTTTTTTTTCCTGATTGCAGTTTGCAGTTCACGGTTTTTCAGATATGAAGACAACTCCCCCCCCCTTTTTAAATTATTATTTTTCAACAACACGATAACAATGTAACATCAGTTGTAACAGCACTTCTAAGGGATAAAAACAATCCTGTCTTACTTAAAAGGAACTAAATGTTAAGAACAATACCGCATCTCCATATCTTGAACATCAATTACCATAAATGAAGAGAGTTTATTACATCCGGTATCACTCCTTGAGAAGCAAGATAAGATAAAATGGGAAACCAAATGCTAGTAAAGACAACTGATGGGATCAGGGACTAAGAGTTAATGTTGGAAGGCGCTGGGGGTTGTTTAGGAGAAGGGAAATGGAACTGCCCCTTGACCGAAAGAAGATCTCTATCCCTGTTTCTCTGCAGCTTCAGCAGAAATCTGCTCAGATGTCTCACGAGGAATACAAAGTTGATCTTTTAAAAATCAAGATTATGGTGGGAACTGTGAGAACAAAATTGTGTCCTGAATATGCTGGCTCAGGAAGGAATGTTTGATGGTACATCTCTACACACAAGATACACACACACACACAAACATATTTCAGTACAGAAAATGTGTGTTGAAGCAAGCTTTCCATAAACTCAAAAGATTCAGAAAGGATTTGGGTTCTAATAATACTTAGTTTATTTCTGTAAAATACTAATTACTGATTTCTAAAAATAATAAATCCACCATAAAGTCATTCAAAAACCAAAACAAACAATAAAACAGCAGTGATGCTAACTAAACCATTCAAACAATAAAACAGCAGTGCTGCTAACTAATGAGTCGGTTCTTAAAAGTGCAATGGGAACCTAGAAGACATCAAGAAAGGCACCAGTGAATATCTCTTGGGAGCTTATTCCATAACCAGGTGCTATCACTAAGAAGGCCTTGTCTCTGGACGCCACGCATCTAATCTCTGAGTCTGGAAGTCATCCAGAGCAAGGTCTCCACAGTCATATTCTCAGTGAACATACAGGTTCATATAAGAGCTGGTGATAGGGTTGCCATCCTCCCGATGGGGGTGGGGTTTCCCCCATTTTTGGGGCCCCTAATCTGCCGCTGGCCAGCTGGGGCAGCCCCACCCCTGATGAGCCCTGTCCTGCCCGATGTGCCCAGTGCGATGACGTAATCCGGAGGTGACATCATTGCACTGGGCAGGGGGACGCTCTAGCATTTGGACAAAAACTGTATGGTGACCATAGAGTTTTTTGCCCCACTGCTAGAGTGTGGGGACGCTTGTGTGGAGGGCGCTCTAGCATTTGGACAAAAACTCCATGGTGACCATAGAGTTTTTTGCCCCACTGCCAGAGCATCCCACCCAACGTGCCCAGTGCGATGACAAAGACTCCCGGACCAAGACAGCACACACCCCCGGCCAGCATGCAGGTAAGACCTGGCAACCCTAGCTGGTGATCCTTTAGATAATATCTTGTGCCGTGCAAGATCTAGGCAAGGTCTATGGAAGAGGGCCCCAAATCAAGGCTCTCTGTCTAAGCTTATGCAAGGAGGCTAACTGTCATGTGCTCTTTGTCCCTAGGCTCCTGAAAATTTGAAGCCCACCTGTTTCACCACCTACGATGCCCCACAACCTCCAGCTTCAGGATTTATCCAGGAAACTAATCAGAAAGCTGACTACTTATCATTAAAGGAAGACTCCCCTGTGGAGCTAGAGACTAAATGGCTCAAGAAAAGGTCCATCCCCAGTCCAAAGATCCAAGAGCCAAGCATAGTGGTGGTAAGCCAGGAGGGTAGCCAGTATAGCCGGGGGACTTCCTTGAACCCCCCGTCTGTTTCCCTTGATCTCGCACAGCCCACTGGGGAGGAGCCCCCGCTTTTGGAAGAAGAGGTGGAGAAGGTCTCCCCAGTTTTTGGTAGTGACGAAAATCAGCACACATTATCTCCAGATCGTGGAAGGGAGGAGATGGGCACTGCCGGATTTTCACCCCAGAGAGCTGATCTCGAGACGAGTCCGATACGTGGTTTGGACCGAGGTGCTCCTCAGACTGAAGCAGCGATCCGTGTGAAGCAAGAAGAGGCATTTGAGTCATTGCGGGGCAACAGGCCTGACCTGAAAATGGATCTAGGGCTTGAGGTGGAGAGGACAGTGACGACAAGACCGCTGCTGATTCCCGAGGCTGCCGTAGAACTTCCTGTCCCCTACCAAAGCGTTCCGGACAAGCCACCTCCGAGTCCCACAGTGGCGACGCCTCTGGTGTTCCACGGATCTCAAGGGCCATCTCCGCTTTCTCCTATCGAAGGAGACCTTGCCGAGAGGAACCAATCAGTGGCCTCTTTGCTGAGGGATGTGAAGAGAGATATGGACCCTTGGCAACCGGCAAGGCCTCCACTTTCAGAACCGGCCCAGCAGGCTGATGGGTTGGCCGGAGAGGTAGATCATGCCAAGGAAGTCATCTCGGTTCCTCAGAGTGGTGGAGAAGACGAGCAGGAGTCCTTAACTCTTGGCCAGAAGCTGGAGGTGAGTGCTGCGGAAGAGAAGAGAACAGCCTCAAGCACCTCGTTGTTGCAGGATTTGTCACAGCCCGAGACCGCTATGGAGGAGGATGACAGCCCGGAGAAGAAACAGCAGAAAAACCTGGTGTCTTCCCTGAAAAATTATTTGCTTCTTCTCTTGAAGATGACCTCAGAGGCGGACAAAAGCAAGGAGAGCCCGAAGCAGGAAGCCAAGGTGGTGGAGGAGAGGGCTCCGCCCACTGCTCTCCCGAGGCATGTCAAAGACGTGGGTATTGCCGGGTTAACCCCCAGAACTTCAAGGAAGATCTTTGAACGGGTTGAAACCAACCAGCTCTTCCAGAGTGCGGAGTGCCTGCAGCTGACTCCCAAGTCTTCCAGGCGGCTCACGGGAATGATCAATCAGGAGTTGCTTGCCTGCCAAGAAAGGCTGATGACCGAATCAAAGGTCCCCCCGTTGCCCTGCGTTCCCTCGATCGTGGTAGGGAACGCTCCTGGGGAGCCGACGGGGCTTCCCGATCTGCCTCTAGAGGTCCCTAGTGAGGCGCCGGCAGCCCTGCCTAGCGCTACCCCCCAGGAGCTGGCGCTGGGAGCACGCCGTAAAATATTCCTGCCCAAGACCAAGCAAGGTGATGAGATGGAAGGGGTCGTCCCAGACGGCCAGGCGCACGCCAAGAAGGACAGCCCCACCGTGTCCCCGCAGCAGAGCCGGAGGAACGCGGCTCTCCTGCAGACCCCAGTCCCGTCTCCGTCTCCTCCCGTGGAGAGGCGCTCCCCGACCCTCGCCAGGAAGATGGCGACGTTAGAAGTGCCAAAGATATATGAGGAGACGACTGAAGAGAGTAAGGACGTGGCAGACAGTGTCCCGGGAGTCCCAGAGAAATGTGAAGAGGCTGTCCCGGAAGGGCAGACAGGAGAATCCCGGAGAGCAAATGACCCATTTAAAGGTGAGAAAGATGGTGCCTAAGCAGTCAGATAAGAGAATCTGAGAGGGGAGTGTGGTAGTCCAACCTCAAAGTGCACCATTCAGATAGGGTGGGGGGGACCTGCTTTTTCATTCTCTCTAAGAGAAGAGAGAGAGAAGAAGAGATTGGATTTATATCCCGCCCTTCACTACCCAAAGGAGTCTCAGAGCGGCTGACAAACTCCTTTCCCTTCCCCTCCCCACAACAGACATCCTGTGAGGTGGGTGGGCCTGAGAGAGCTCTTGACAGAAACGGCTCTTTTTTCAAGGACAGCTCTTATCAGAACTACGGCTTGCCCAAGGTCACCCAGCCAGGTGCAAGTGGAGGAGTGGGGAATCAAACCCGGTTCTCCCAGATTAGAGTCTGCGCACTTAACCACTGCATCAAACTGACTCTCCATTTGAGGAGCTCCTCCATTTGAGGAAAAGTCACCAAGACTGTTACCGGGCACAGAGATAATTTCTGCTTGCTCCCACAGCCTCAGGAGATCACTAGTGTAGAAACAGAACTGGAAGGGGCCTCAGGGTCATCTAGTCCACCCCGATGCACAATGCAAAAAATTCACAGCTACTTCCCCCCCCTTCATTCCCTCAGTGACCCCTGCTCTACGCCCAGCATGTGACTCTCAGGCTCACAGCTTTAGCTTTTTAGAATGCAGAGTCTGTGTTCCCATCACAGGATAACAGGAGAACTCCCTCCCCAAAGATTGTTGGGGGGGGACTTTTTAATATGGTTTATTCTGGGTTATTTCCCCGTTGTTTCTCCATCCCTTGAGGGGGGGGAAAGCGTGACTATCTATTTTCCCCCTAATTTTTTTTCCCTGTGTTACTGCTGCTGCTGTTGTTTTTGGTCCAGGCTTTGTCAACTCAACAGGGCTCTCGGAATTCCGCACCGTGCCGATGTACAGAATTCCCAGTCGATTAATACCCACCACTCTCTTTCTGCAGCCCCGCAGGTGATCCGCAAGATCCGAGCAGAGCAGTTCTCAGATGCTTCGGGGAACCTGAAACTCTGGTGCCAGTTCTTCAACGTTCTGAGCGACTCAAAGCTGACCTGGTATAAAGATGAGATTCCTGTGACGGAGACCAGAAGGAGGTTAGTTATATGTCCTAGGTTGTCTGGGATAAGCTCCTTTGCCTTCTGACAACTTCAGGTTGTGCCACTCCCCTGTGGGGTGGGGGGCAAGCAAACAGGAGCGCCAGTCAGATGGACACCCAGGCCCGTAGCTACCGTGGGGCATCTCGGGGCCTGGCCCCCGACTTATTGCCAAGGCCCCCTCCCCCAGACTTCCCATCCAGCCCAGACCCCCCCCCCGTTCCATTTTTTTTCTTTTTTTGTGGCGCTTCCTTGGGTACCCCCCAGCTTATTTAAAGGCCCCTTGGATTTAAAAAATCCTGGCTTACGGGCCTGTGGACACCGTTGCTGTCCTCAACCACACGCCTTGCAGAATATCTCTGCCTTCCAGGCCCTGCAGAACTGCATTAAGTGAGCGCAGAGGAAAGAAACCGTCTCCGTCTGCCTCCAGTCAAAAGGGCCGGGAGCCAAGAGCGGCCAACTGTTGCTGGCTCAGGGCTGTCCCTGTCTGGTGGCACGTTGACCTTCAAGAAGTCTGTGGAGGTTTTCAAGCAGAGGCCAGAGGGCCACCTGACAGCAGTGCTGATCCTGTGAACTGAGGCAGTTCATGAGAGGGAAGGCAGGGAGGGCTGCATCAGTGCTTGGTTCTCGTGGCCCTTCCTTACACGCCCAGGGAAAGGCCGACAGCCTCTTTGGGGACAGGAGGCACTCGTCTCCAGGCCAGTTTGGCTGGAGATCCTGGAGGTTTTTTGCCATCTTCTGGGCATGGAGGAGGGGGTCACTGAGGATGGGGTGGAGGCAGTATTTGTGAATTTCCTGCAGCGTGCAGGGGGTTGGATTAGGTGCAGCCCCGTAGCTAGGGATTTTGGGGGGAGGGGGCCTTGGGGGGGCCCACCAGCGAATTACATCAAAGGCTCCAGGGCAAGGGGGGGCTGCCTGGTGTGCACCCACACAGCCCCCACTAGAGCCTTCCTCTGAGGTGAGCCAGAATCCCAATGTTAATAGACACTAAAGGAACTCCTTTGCATAATAGGTGACACACCCCTAATGTAGCCAATCCTCCAAGAGCTTACAGAGCTCTTCTTACAGGGGCTGCAAAAGAGTTCCTGCTACAAAAAGAACCCTGATTAGCTGCCCTGTTTTAAAAAAGAGAGAGTGGGGATCAAGCGCGCGCTCTCTCTCTCTCTCTCTCTCTCTCTCTCTCTCTCTCTCTCTCTCTCTCTCTCTCTCTCTCTCTCTGTGTGTGTGTGTGAGAGAGAGAGAGAGACCTTTATTGGCATTACTCCTCCCTCACTCCTTCCTGGATCCATCTTGTGTATGGCCCCCCCCCCCCCCCGCAAAGCATTCATATGCAATACCAGGTATACTATCATGCTGATCCACAAGTTAATATTGCGCTTTAAAAACCCCACATTGCTGCCATTCTTTGAAAAAGCTTGCAAAACCCCGGCGTGCGCGTCACCAGGAAGTGACGTTATGACGCCGGGCACGCTGGGGGCGGGGCCACGACCATCCAAGGGGGAAACATAGAGTTTCCCCCTCAATGGTCGTGGCCCCGCCCCCAGCGTGCCCGGCGTCATAACGTCACTTCCTGGTGACGCGCACGCCGGGGTTTTGCAAGCTTTTTCAAAGAATGGCAGCAATGTGGGGTTTTTAAAGCGCAATATTAACTTGTGGATCAGCATGATAGTATACCTGGTATTGCATATGAATGCTTTGCGGGGGGGGGGGAGCACAGAGCAGAAGTAGCCGTGAGAGGCACATGACAGTGTGATACAATGCAGAGTAGCCCTCGTCTGAGTCCATTGAAGCCAGTGGATTTAGTCTGGAGTAACTTCGCTGAGGACTGCACTATCAGTCATTCAGTGATTTAGGTAGATATGACTGAAAGTTCAAGAGCACTGTGATAGTCGGTTAGAAAAAGTCTGCAAGTTCTGTATACGTAAGACACGAGAAGGGTTTGCAAGAGATACTAATAACTTTGGCCATCAATAGTTATTGCTTCCTTCTGCCTTGATTGTTGTGTCTGACTTCATTTTTTAGCAAAGTGCTTTATGGCATCTTTTTCAGCAGTTTTGCTGCACTTCACATTTGACATACACTGCTTTCAGGTATAGCTAGTTGTTAATTTTTTTTAATTAAGGGCACAGGAGGAGCTGGGTCGGGGAGACAAGCAGCAGTAAAAATAATAATAATACACCAGTTTGGTGTAGTGGTTAAGTGCGCGGATTCTAATCTGGGAGAACTGGGTTTGATTCCCCACTCCTCCACTTGCACCTGCTGATGTGACCTTGGGTCAGTCACAAGCTCTGGCACAGCTGTCCTTGAAAAAGAGCAGTTTGTGTCAGAGTTCTCTCAGCCCCACCCACCTCACAGGGTGTCTGTTGTGGGCAGGGGAAGGGAAGGGAGTTTGTAAGCCGCTCTGAGACTCCAAGTGAAGGGCGGGGTATAAATCCAATCTCCTCCTCCTCCTAATAATAATTGTTGATTGTACCAGTCTAAATTTTGTCCTGGAACTTCCTAACGGTTTTTGTACAGAGCTCTTGGGTTTCTTCCATAATGCAATAGCCATTGCCAGAGGTTTCAGGTTAAGGCACTTATAGGAACCATGCCCTGACCTGTATGGCCCAGGCTAGCCTGATCTCATCAAATCTTGGAAGTCAAGCAGGGTCGGCTCTGGTTAGTACTTGGATGAGAGACCATTGAGAAAGCCCAGGGTTGCTACGCAGAGGCAGGCCATGGCAAACCACCTCTGAACGTCCTTTACCGTGAAAGTCCTACAGGGTTGCTATAAGTCAGCTGTGACTTGACGGCAGAAAAACAAAACATAAAATGTTGTTTATGCTGTCTTTGGATGACCCTGTCTCTTCTCACCTGGCTTTTAGGGTTTTAACACAAGAATTGCAGTGTGGGTTATGTTGCAGATTTGCAGCGACATTGCAGAAATCCTGTGCATGCTTTGCAGAATTTATCTGTGACCTCAATAAGAAATTTTTGCAGTGGCAGATTTAGGAACCGTGTGGTGTGTTGAAAGCGATTTCAGAAGCACCAGGGGATGGTGTCCGGCTGTTGCTAAGCAACCCAGGCACAGTTTTTCTCCGCTTCCGACTTGGAAACGGGCCTCTCTCGCAGGTCCTCGCAGCAGTTGCACCAGATCGAAAAAAGATCAATAACCTCGCTCACTCCCAGTCTACGGATACTCCCCCGAAACCAGGCTAAGGGAGATGATTGCTGCCTCCTCACCAATGTTCCTTTATTGTACACACTTCAAAAATTGTACGTGCACAAATGTGTGTACTTACTAGAAAATCCTATTTTATAATTGGTAACTTTTCTTCCCAAGTCATTCATCTCTCTCATCTTTCGGATCCCAGGATTTTTTCCCCTTTGCCATCGAGTCACAGCTGACTTAATGGAGACCCCACAGGGTTTTCAAGGCAAGAGAGGAATGGAGGTGGGTTGCCATTGCCTGCCTCTGCGTAGCAACCCTGGACTTCCTTGGTGGTCTCCCATGCAAATACTAACCAAGGCCAACACTGCTTAGCTCCTGAGACCTTATAACACTGGGCTAGCCTGGGCCATCGAGGTCAGGGCAAGAGAGGAACAGAGGTGGTTGGCATTGCCTGCCTCTGCATAGCAACCCTGAGCTTCCTTGGTGGTCTCCCACCCAAATACTGACCAGGGCTGACCCTGCTTAGCTTCTGAGATTTGACAAGAGCGGGCTAGCCTGGGCCATCCAGGTCAGGGCAATTCCCCCAGTTCCCTTCCATAAATCCTAACTCTGGCTTCCCTTCTCATCCTTTTCTCTTTACTCTCCTGTCCTGATACATCTTTTTTAAAAAGCTGAGAGCTCCAGTTGCAGAACCCTCAGCAGCTTCTGGTTTGGCCCTTACATGTGCCACACTGAGACGGAAATGTGGAAGAAGAAGAAGAGGAGGAGGAGAGTTGGTTTTATACACCTCTCTTCACTACCCAACGGAGTCTCAGAGCAGCTTACAATCTCCTTTCCCTTCCTCTCCCCACAACAGGCACCTTGCAAGGCAGGTGGGGCTGAGAGAGCTCTGAGAGAACCGTGACTGGCCCAAGGTCACCCAGCTGGCTTCATGTGGAGGAGGAGTGGGGGGATCAAACCCGGTTCTCCAGATTGGAGTCCTCTGCTCTTAACCACGACACCACAGCTGGCGCTCAGTAAATCAGTTTTCAGGTCCCTTTGAATTTTTTCCCCGTGCTCTTCCGGTCGCTCGGTTCCCCGGCACTGGTGTGGAAGCTCGGGTGGCTGGAGTTGGATAGGGGCGCGCCTCTTGGGTTTGTCTCCCCACTCTGCTTTCCGTGACCTCTTAATGGCAAATGGTGCGGTTTCCCCTGCGCTCATCTAGAGGATTCTCTTCCAGCTCCGGGGATGAAGGGCAGGCGGCCCTGGCCATCGTGCAGGTGTCCCTGAAGGACTGCGGCGTCTACCAGTGCACCATCCAGAATGAATACGGCACCGACTCCACCGACTTCCTGCAGCTGAGGCCTCTCTGCTCTGCTCCGCAGAGAGACTCTCGTGTTGCAAGCAGGGTTGGTGTCGGCATAGGCTGAGGGGGGGCGGCTGCCAGGGCCCGAGGTTTCTGGCGGGGCCCACTTCTGCCAGCCCCCGCCCCGCCCATTCACTCGCTAGCTGCACACACTGCCTGGGGTCCCTGGGGAAAGGTCTGGAGGCAGCTGGAATAGCTTGTGAGCAGCAAGGGAAGGACACACAGACAGGTCTGAGGCATGCAGGTGGGCATGAGGGAAAGGAGGGCGTGAGAGCCCGGCGATAGGCAGAGGGTTATTAGGAAAGGGACTGAAAATAAAAACAGCCAATATTATAACGCCCCTGTGTAGATCTATGGTGCGGCCTCATTTGGAATACTGCGTACGGGTCTGGTCACCTTATCTCCAAAAGGACATGGCAGAGCTGGGAAAAGTGCAGAGGAGGGCAACCAAGATGGTTAGGGGGTTGGAGCACCTTCTCTACAAGGAAAGGCTGAAGAGTCTGGGACTTTCGCCCTGACCAAATAGCCCCGGCGAGCCCGATCTCGTCAGATCTCGGAGGCTAAGCAGGGCCGACCCTGGCAAGTACTTGGATGGGAGACCTCCAAGGAATACCAAGGCCGGGATGCAGAGGCAGGTTAATCAAACCACCTCTCGGAAAAACGTCCACGCCCACGGTCTCCGGAAGTCAACCGTGACTTCCAGGCAAGCGCACGCACACTCGTCGCAAGGTTGCAGAGCAGCTTTGCCTGGAGAAACTGTAGCAGCAAGGGCTTCTCCGACCGAGGGCAGGGACGTGCGATAGGGAATTGGAGCAAGGAGCTCCACCCAAGAGAAGGGAGTCCACAAGCCAAATTTTTTTTTTGCCGTCAAACTCACAGCTGCCCTATGGCAGTGCTGAGGGGTTTTCAAGGCAAGAGACGTTCAGAGGTGGTTCCGCCATTGCCTGCCTCTGCGTCACAACCCTGGACTCCCTTGGTGGTCTCCCATCCAAGTACCAGCCAGGGGGGAGCTTCCAAGATCTGTATGGAATCGGGCTATCCAGATCCGGGCAATTGGCCAAATTAGCGCCTATGAAACTGGGGAAAGGGCTCTGCCTTCCTTTCTTGTTTCTTTTCACAGCGGAGGGATAAAGCCGTTGTAACCGTATCCCCCCCTTTTCTCTCTCTCTCTCTGTTCAGTGCTGTCAGGATTTCTCTCCAAAGAAGAAATAGAAGGTAAAGTGTGCCCAGGAGACAGCGTGGTGAGTCTGTGCCCTGACAGGTCACGTGGCCCCTATCCCGTGTGTGAAACCCCGCCTGTTCCTCCTGGGTGGGCTGGTGTCTCATGTAAGACTTAGCAACAGGGAGGCAGGGGAGACCTACAAGACGGGCTTTATAAATAAGTTCATGACAACTTTTCAGATAAAGGGGGGAAAATAGGACAAACAAAACAATGTTAACTATTTCTAAATTATCCCAATTTCTTATCTCTTTTCCATTATTATTTATAAAATTACTCACGTCCCTGTTATAAGCCATGAATGACTCATTTTACCTCTTCCCTTCCCTTCCCAGATCATCGACTGCTATATAATATTTTATAACAATTAGCTATTTTATTTGCCCTCCTTCTTAATGGTTTAATCTGCCATCTTATATCGAAGCAAAAAGAACATCAGTATCCTTATATCCTACGTTATTGAGCAACAGGGCCATTAGTTTGCTGGGAGAATGGTCCCCCCATCCTCTTGTCATGGAATATAACAATTCCCCCGAGATGTCTTGGTGGGCCCTGTAGCCTCCAGGTGGGACATGGGGATCCCCTGGAATTGTAGGTCATCCCCAGACTACGGAGATCAGTTCCCTGGAAGAAATGGCTGCTTTGGAGGGTGGACTGTACAGCACTGTACCCCACTGAGGCCCCTGCCCTCCCCCAGGTTCCACCCCCAGGTCTCCAGGAGTTTCCCAACCTGGAGCTACAACCCAGATCCCCACCCCGGGGACCTGGGTTAGGAGGACCCTCTCCCTCCTGCCTTTCCCCCTTCCTCAGTTTCTCAGCCCCATTCCCCCCCGTGGCTTTCCCCTCTCGCGCAGCCGGCGAGGAGATCGAGATGACGCCCATGGTGTTTGCCAAAGGCCTGGCCGACTCCGGCTTCTGGGGGGACAAGTTCTTCGGGCGGATCATGGTGGAGGACCTGGAGGTGGGCCAAGGCTTCCTGCGCAAGGCATGCCGCGCCCGGGCCATTTACGGCCTCGAGCCGGTCTTCGAGTCCGGGCACACGGGCATTATCAAAATCCGCAACCTCGTTGCCTTCGGCGGGCGCAGCGAGAACACGCTGATGGAGCGGAACTACGACATCACCATCCAGGTAGGAAGAGGGAGGCATATGGTGCGTGGCCTGTTGGCATTGGTTTGGCACGTCGCTCACCCTCTGAGTGGCCTCTCAGGGTGGGGTGGGGGAAGGTTACTGCTTGTGCTTCCGTAACAATGACTTTCCAGTTTTCCGTCTTGGAAACTGGAGCTCCATCTTTCCTCCCTTGGCTGTTACGGAGCTTCATGTAAAAAATAACCCTGCTCACGCGGGAGCCCCATTCAGCAGGCTTTGCGTCTGCCCCTCACCCCACCCGATTGGCTTGCCTGTCGTGCTCCTGTGTCTGTCCTGTCCTCCCCCAACAAGGAAGACAGCCCCTCCATCTTGTCTGCCCCCTGCAGGAGTGCAAGATCCAGAATTCGAGCCGGGAGTACTGCAAAATCTTTGCGGCAGAGGCCCGAGCCATCCCCGCCTTTGGGCCGGCGCCTGAGTAAGTGGTGCCTCTGTGCTCCGTGTAGTTTGGACAGTTCAGGGGGCCAGCGTCAGCCTGTTCTGAGGCGGGGCAGCTGCCAAGGCCCAGATCTTCCAGTGGGGCCCGCTGCTACCTCCCCACCTGCTCCCGCGCTGCCCATCGGCTTGACGCGAGCCCTCCCTCCACGCACACGGCCTGGCATCATCATGGAAGGTGTGCAAGGACTGGGACGGGGGGGGGCAGGACGGAAGCTAGGCACCGGGGGAGGAAAACACGGGCAGGGGGGCAGGGCGGTGTGGGGAGGGGGGGGGCTCACTGATGGAGCACCCGCTTGGCTTGCAAAAGGTGGCAGGTTCAGTTTCCAGCATCTCCGGATAAAAGAACCTGACAGGTGATGGGAAAGACCTCCGCCCGAGATCCCGGAGAGCCACTGCCAGCCTGAGTAGACAATACCAACTTAGATCCAGGGGTCTGATTCAGTACAAGGCAGCTTCATGTGAATATAGTGGCAAGCAGGGGATACAGTGGCAAGCAGGGGAGGGGAAGGGAGGGGAGGCAAGGGGACCGTTATGCTCTGGCCCGGGCCCACTGAAACCTGGAACTGGCCCTGGGCTAGTAGATGTGTGCGTGGCGGGGTGTGTACATTAATTTATCCTTTTTAGAAAATTGTTCTGCCATGTCTCCAGGGAACCTTATTTAAAAATAAGCTGGGAAGGGGAGAGGGGAGTTACACCATTCAACCCAGCTAGGTTTTGCTAATCGAAGCTCTCCCCATGCTTATGTTAGCTGCATTCTTTAAGATCAGGTCTTCCAGCATGTGCACACAAGTCAGCGACCTGCTGCCAGTTGCAGCCTCCTGAGACATAAACCTGTGTCGGTGCATGACTCTCTGCACAAGCTTTGTCTTACACTTAAGTCAGGAGAAAATGCCACACACAAAATATGTAGAGAAACTGCAGTGACTGAGCTGGGACTCTGTTCTTGCACAGAATAATCCCTGTTTACCTGATCTACCGTCCGGCTAACAATATTCCCTACGCTACCATGGAGGAGGACCTGCCTGGCCTGTTCGAACGCTTCTGTGGGCGAGAGCGAGACGGCAGCCTGGCACCAGCCAGCACTTCCGAGGTTGGGCACAAGTGTGCCACCTTCCAGCACTGGCTGTACCAGTGGACAAACGGCAACATCCTGGTGACGGACTTGGAAGGTGAGGGTTATCGCTGTAGCCCTGTAGCATTTGGGGGACAATCCCAAGAAGGAACAAAGGGATTACATTTAGAAACGATGACTTTTGCCTCCTCGGGGAGCCTGGATGCCACAATTCAGCCCCCCGGAATTAGGCACTTTAAAAGCCTTCCCGCTGACCTCTGCAAACCTTGCTTGCTTTCCTTAGTCCTCAGCCATGCCTAGAGTACACCCGTTTTGTCAAACTCATTTCTTACAAGGGCCGGATCTGACACAAATGTTATTTTGTCAGGCTGGGCCATGTCTGCCATAAAATGTAATTCCAGCTACCGGAGATACAAACTTTTTAAATGACAGGCAAACCCAGTTAATGTTACTATTTTTTAACTCAAAATACAAACCAAAGCTATTGATTCCTAGGAGTGAAAGCAGTTGTTTCCTGGGGAATCCACAAAAGCCCCCCATAAATGTATTTAATCATATGTTAGTTCTTCTGATGTTTATTAGCTTCTATGACCAAAAGTCTTAAGCTCAGTTATCAAACATGGATATACAACATTAGCCTCAAAATACAAACTTCACAATCAAAATTTACAGTCAAAATAATCAAACCTAAAAGATCTAAAATGTTAAAAGAGAAGTCATTAATAAAACTATAATTCGTTTAAATATTCTTTTAAATCATATTAACTGAGTGTATACCAAATTGTATAATCAAATCTAAAAGATCTAAAATGTTAAAAGAGAAGTCATTAATAAAACTATAATTCATTTAAATATTCATTTAAATCATATTAACTGAGTGTATACCAAATACAATTGGGTCAAGCCAGGTTTTTGTTGCTTTACAGATAAAACGATCATTAAAACTTTTGTAACAAGATAAGTGGTTTCAGGATTAATATCTGCCAACAGATAGGGGACCACCCAGAGTTTAGTAGGTAATCGGTGTCTGGTAAGAACTGGAGTGATCCAAATCGATCTAGGAGTCGACCACTGATGACATCATAATAGAAGATGGCCAAGTGTTTCCACAGCTCCAGTATCACAATTACATAAGTGATCCGAGTAGGGGACTTTAGAAAAGCGACCTATTAACTCAGCAGTGGGGAAAGAGTTAAGCCTAGCAAGAGTGAAAACACGTCTATAACTAGGTATTTTTAAGGATCTACTATATGAAGGAAGAGACTCCGGAGGAGGAATAAAGGCAAGAGTGGAACATACACGTCTTGCTCAAGCTAAAGTACTAGCCCGATCAAGATTTAATCATATGTAAGACTAGGGCTGCTGTCACACACACTAAACAATCCACTTTCAAACCGCTCTCAATGCACTTTGCAACTGGATTTTGCCAGTTCACACAGTAAAAATCCAGTTGGAAAGTGCACTGAAGGTGGATTGAAAGTGGATTATTTAGTGTGCGTGACAGCAACCTAGCTTTCCCCCAAGGGATACCATACCCTTTCCTTTCATTTCTTGACAGCTTCGACCACACACCTCCCTGTGTGTGCCCGGGTGACCCCCCAGCAGCCTCCTGCCTTCCCTCCTTTGCACCAGTCGCAGGCTGGATAAGAGCCCTGGATGGGCCGGCTCAAGCCCTCAGGCCATATGTTTGACACCCCTGGGTTAGAATGTTGTGTTAGGACCTGGGAGGACCCGAGTTTGAATCCCCACTCTGCCATGGAAGCTTGCTGGGTGAACCTCTCAGCCTCACTTACTTCTCACAGGGTTTTTGTGTAGATAAACTGGAGGAGAGGAGATCACTGCCACCTGCTTTGGGTCCCCGTTGGGGGAAAAGGTGGTGCATAAATGAAGTAAAATTAAATTTAGCCAAGGCTGGAACTGGACATTGGTTTTGACTTTTGTTGTTGGCTTCCCAGAGCGCCCCAAAGCATAAGCATTTAATATTATTGTTCCTTAATTTCATCAAGGCTTTTCTCTAGGGAGGGAGCCAAAGCCCTTGCCTCTTGGGAACTCGGATAATGCTTTAACCCAGTTTGGTGGGACCGAGTAGTGACAGCAGGCCTAGAATGACCATTGTGTGCTGATGTTACAGGCACTAGCCAATCGGTGCCTCCTGTGGCCAGCTTTTCTCCATTTAAGCTGCTGGGAAAACGCAGACCCATGCCTTGGGCGTGTTTTGTCACCCGAATTCTCTGCTCCCTGCGTCGTGACCCAAGGTGCGTCTTTATTCTGTTGCAGGTGTCGGTTGGAAGGTCACCAACGTGAGGATTGCTACCAAAACGAAAGGGTGAGTGACCCGCACAGGACCAAGCAGCATTCGGGTTCCTGTGTCTGGGCTCTGATGTTGACGCTGGAACCAGGCGGCAGCGGTGGCTCAGATTGGGGAGGGGGTAAGATAGCAAAGCAGGAAGCTCTGTTCTCCTCTGCCTACCTTCCCCTCCCCCTTGAAAATGAACTCTTGTTGTTCATTCTGAGTCAGCTGAAGGCTCTGCACTCTGGACCCTGTTCTGTAATGTGGGATGGGGCTGTGGCTCAGTGTTAGAGCATCTGCTTGGCATGCAGAATGTCCCATGTTCAGTCTCCAGTATCTCCAGTTAAAAGGACGAGGCAGTAGGGGATGTGGAAAGACCTCTGCCTCAGAACCTGGAGAGCTGCTGCCAGTCTGAGTAGACAATACTGACCTTGATGGACCGAAGGTCTGATTCAAAATGAGGCAGCTTTGTGTGTGTGTTCAAATGCCCTGCAGGCCGGTCCCAGTGGCAGCTGCCTCCCAGGCCGCTCCCTTTCCCAGGAAGGGCTTTGATGATGGAACTGACCCCTCCTGGCTGCCAAACAGCAGCCCCGCCCTGCCTGTTCTGGGTGCCTCCTGGCCTGGCTGCTACAGCTGCCAGTCAGATTGAGTTTGTCCAGAGGTCATTTTGGGGGGGATCGCAGTTCCCCCGGGTGAGGTACGGGGGAGTGAGGCACATGACGAAGCCCCGCCCCCCGCTTCCGGCCGCCCCGCTTCCGGCCCTCATTCAGCCAGGAGGAGGCAGGAGAAGAGGGAGGGTAAGTTGCTTCCTCCCTGCCTCTCCCCACCTCTGCCTGCCTGGGGCCAGGGAGGGCCTTCGCGGGGCTTCCTCGCACTCCCGCCGGCCTTGCAGGGCCACCGCCGGGCCCCTCATGGGACTCGGCAGTGGAGCTGCAAGGCCAGCACCGGCGGCTGGGACTGTTGGGGGCGGGGTGTGTGGCCTTATGACACACTTCCGGTGATGTCAGGAGGTGTGGCCTTATGACACACTTCCGGTGATGTCAGGGGGTGTGGCATATGCTAATGAGTTATGCTAATGAGTTCCCCTAGCTCTTTTTCTACGAAATCACCCCTGAGTTTGTCTCAGCCAAGGTGAGTTGCCCCTGCAACTTCCTGACAGATGGAGCGGTTCCTCAGCGGAACAGGCTTCCTCTGGAGTGGGTGGGCTCTCATTCTTGGGAGGTTTTCAAACGGCATGTAGATGGCCATCTGACAGCAATGCTGATCCTGTGAACTTGGGCAGATCACGAGAGGGAGGGCAGGAAGGGTTGCCTCGGTCCTCAGTTCTTATGGCCCTTTCTTACACGCCCAGGGAAATGCTGATTGCCACTTTGGGGTCAGGAAGCGATTTTTGTCCAGTCCAGTTTGGATCCTGGAGGGATTTTTTTTTGCCATCTTCTGGGCATGGAACAGGGGTGACTAGGGTGTGGGGGAGAGGTAGTTGTGACTGTCCTGCCTTGTGCAGGGGGCTGGACTAGATGACCCTGGACGTCCCTTCCAACTGTATGAGTCTAAATCCAGTGTGGGTCGCCTTGCCGGACATGGTCAAACAGAGCCGAGGGGGGCGGGCCGGGGTGGTTGGTTACGTGCCTACAATGGTAGATTCAGCCCTGGTGATTTGCCCTCTTCGTTGCCAGGTACCAAGGGCTGAAGGACAGCTATTGCCCTGCCTTGCTGGAACACTTCACCACCTCCCATCGCTGCAACCGTTACTGTGAGCTCCTGGCCTTGAAGAGCCTTGAAACCCCACAGCCTCCACCCAGAGCCAAAGGCTCCCGGAGCCCCATCTCCGGCAGGAAGGCCTCATCCGCCCAGTCCAGCCCCCAGCTCCAGAAGAAAGGCCTGAGTAGCCCCCAGACCCCCCGGAAAGGTTCAGTCAGCCCTAAGAGTGCCCGCAAAAGCCCTGAGGTGGCAGAATTGCAGCCGCCGGCGAGGGCCAAAGCAGGGGACAGCGGCAAGGCCGGCCGGCTGCAGTGAAGGCACGGGGGCCTTCACGGATGTGCGTTGCGTATGCCCGGGGAGGGGACGTGGCAGCCACTGCCACGCCCCCCTGTGGCCCCTTTCCTCCAGTGTGTGAGGCCTGTGTGTGGTGGTGTTTGAGGGAAGGAGCCGGGCTGTGCCCTGAAGAGGTCCCTGTCCGGGCACGGCCCTCTGGGTTGCTTTTGACGGGGCGCGAAGAAAAAGACAAAGATGGACCGTGAACCCAGCTGTTCTGGACCCTGCAAGCCTCAGGTATTTTCTTGGCTGTGACACGACCACGTGGCACCTCCGTGGTCCATGGCAGATGTCAAAAGTTGTCTTCCTGGCATGAGCTGTTCTCGTGGATCCCGATAGGAGGAATTCGCAGGCAGAACCTTTGTCTATGGATCTCTCGTGGGAAAGGCAGCGGGGCCTGCAATCCATCTGTTCCCTGCGTCCTCGACTCACTTCCCCTCGCCGGTTCCTCCGAGTTTGTGTGGGCCACGACCCACAGGGAGAGCCCTTTGACCTCTTCTTCTCTTTGCCCCACATGTTTCACTCAGCCCATCCAACAAAAGCCGCAGCAAACATGAGGGGAGATGGCTTTTCGCATGGGGGTGGGCAGGGGATGACTCAACCAGGGCTACGTCAGTGGTGGATGCAGCGGTGTCTTGCCTGTATCAGCACTTGGAGTGATTAAAACATCATGCGGTTCTGTGACTGATGAGGGTAGAGGATGCTGGGAAAGGACAGGGGATGTGTGTGGGGCTGAGTGGGGCTTGCCAAAGGACACCGAGTGTCACAGGCTCGTCTTCCCGTCTTTTTGCCTGCCCCTTTCCCTTGAATGGCACGACTGCTGTGAACGACCTCAAATAGTGACCTACCACTGTAAAGACTGACTGTGGGATTAGATAGGTCTCTTCCTTAGGACAGCCCCTGATTTCTGTTAGCCTCCTGCTCGCTACCCAATATTCCCCTTCGTCACATGCCCATTACAGACCCGCTTTCCTGCCACACTGCAGCTTCCTCTGTAGCACTGACCTGCATCCCTGACAGGTACCGCAGAATGGAGCTGCCCGTAACCATAACTCTTCCTTCCACCGCTGTGCGATTTCTCCTGGACTAGCTTCAAGTCTGGCACACTGGGAGAGTCTGAAGGACAAGGCAGTCTTGGAAGGACACCCTGGAGCAGCAAGGACAAAATGCAGCGTGGTGTGGAGCTGCTGCCAGCGAGATACCACCACCAGGCCAGCCTTTCTCTGTACACTGTAGACATCTGACAGGGCAGGGCAAATGCTCAGGTCCTGGCTTGTTCGTGTTGGGAGAAATAGGCAAAAATACTTAGATATTCAGAGTTTGTAATGGATCTTTGCTTCACTGGAGAGGAGGCATTTCTTTCTGAGTAGAAATCTTTATTTCTAAGGGGAAAGGGTACACAGGAAACCTACAAAATAAAAGCGATACCTAGAACTACATCTCCACATCTTTACAGCCACAAACAAACAGTCCACGAGGTCACACAACAATGGAGATTCTTCTTCTTCTTGACCCCTAGAAGGACGTCACCTGATTGCATTAACCAGTCAATGTTACAGCATAGACGTCAGTTTTCCCGGGCTGTCTTTCCATTGACTCTGTGCCAGGTTTCCTTCCGAGTCAGGTTAAACAATGGCCCAAAAGGTAAACAACAGATTAACCCTATAATGACTGAATCTTAGACCTTGCAACTCATATTTCCAGCAGTTTGAACTGTTGCCTTCCGATCATGACCTTCCTAGGCGAATGGTTGTTCAGGAGCAAGGAGGAAATCCAACGACGATGCCGTGAATGGCTAGAGCTAGCAAAGGCCTAATGCAGGTGCAGCTCTTAGAATTTTTAGGTAGGAAGCTTCCTGGCAGCAGATGTGGGGAAAGACCTTTCTCCGCCCGGAGAGACGCTACCAGCCAGAATAGCCAGTACTATTTATCTATTTTTACTTATTTGATTTTTCACCCTCCCTCCCCTGCACACGGGCTCAGGGTGGGTTACAACATGATTAAAAAACACAACATAATTACTATAATACAACATTAAGAACTATAAAATTATTAATTACAAAGCATAACTAAAAGATTGCTAAAATGTTTGATGAGGTCTGCTACGCAATTAAATTAAAGTCCCGAGGGGTTCTAATGGAGGATAACCGTAGGTGGAACAATGCAAAGCAATTGGGTAGGTGAGAAAGTCAGCCATGATGAAGAAGAAGAAGAAGAAGAAGAGATTGGATTTATACCCCGCCCTTCACTACCCAAAGGAGTCTCAGAGCGGCTTACAAACTCCTTTCCCTTCCCCTCCCCACAACAGACACCCTGTGAGGTGGGTGGGGCTGAGAGAGCTCTGACAGAAACTGCTCTTTTTCAAGAACAGCTCTTATCAGAGCTACGGCTTGCCCAAGGTCATCCAGCCAGGTGCAAGTGGAGGAGTGGGGAATCAAACCCGGTTCTCCCAGATTAGAGTCCACGCACTTAACCACTACACCAAACTGGATGGAATAATGGAATAATGCAAGGCAGAGCAGGGGAGGCCAATATAGATGGATCACGACCGCCTCAGCCATCGGCTTGGCAGAACATCTCCCATTTTACAGGGCCTGCGGAACGGCATTAAATCCCACAGGGCCCGGATCTCAGCCGGGAGTGGGTTCCACCAGGCTGGCTCCAGAGCAAAGAAAGCTCTGGCTCCGGTTGGGGCCAGGTGTACATCCTTTGGGCCGGGGACCACGAGTAGATGTCGGTCAGAGGAGCGCAAAACCCTTCGAGGGACATATTGGGAGAGACGGTCCTGAAGATCTGTTGATCCTAGACCGCACAGGGCTTCAATTGTTAGATGGACCAACGGTCTGACCCGGTATAAGGCAGCCCTCCTGTTCTTCCAGCCACTGGATTTCCTTTTTGCAAACGCTTTGGCGCAAATGATTGTGCTCGGCAGTTCACCTTTGGCGACAGAGGTGGACCGGCCACTGAACTTGCAGGGAAAGTTCCCGGCGGGCCCCCGGCAGCCAGGAGCAAGGAGCCACTCAGCTCCCGCCTGGTGGCCAGCAATGCTGATGAGGGGTTTCAGCTCCCCCAGTGCCCCGTCGGGCCTTCCCCCCACGCAGATCTCTCCCCCTGCCTTGAAAAAAGCAGCCCCAGTGGCCGCATTTGGCAAAGAAGAACACCACCTTCTGAAAGTGACGACAGACCTAAACAGAATCTGTTGTCCTGTCTTAAGTAGCTAATGGAAGAGCAGGCATGAGTTAATGGACTGAGACGAAAGGAGGCTCGTCACACACCCTAGCTGTCGACGTGGCAGCATAGGACGCACAGTCTGCTAGGCGTGACATTTAATTGCGGGGGGTCTGGCACGCCCGCCAAACTCCTCCTCTCAGCAGGCTCTGCCAGCATTCTCGGTTTTCCTTCATGCCCCTGTTCATTCTGATGTTCCAGAGTGGCATCTCCTCCGTGTCGTCGTTCGGCATGCACGCAGGAAGCGTTCCAGTATAAAAAAGTTTATTGTTTGGGCTGCTCTGTCCTTCATTACGGCAGGGCTGCCAGCGAGACACCCTCGTCGTGCAGTCCTGGCCCACTTCCTCGGCAGTTACACCCCGGCACAGGCCGTGGCGTTGTAGTGACCACAGCATCCTTGGAGGTGCATCTTCGTAATGTTGACGTCCTGATGCTCCCATACGCCAGAGAAAGAAAGAGACCCGTCGATGCTGGTTGCGCTGCGGGAAAAAAGACAGTGACCTTGTGAGCACAACCCAACATCCCTTACTCTTAGGAGCTGTCGGCAAGAATAGCTAGATCCAAGTCTGGTAGCACCACAGGGACCAATGAGATTTTCAGGCGATAAGCTCCCAGAGGCAAAGCTCCCTCCGTCAGATAACTTTCAAAAAGCTCATCCCTTGAAAATGTCTTTGGTCTCTTAAGGTGCCGCTGGACTCGAAGATCGCTCTTCTGCCGCCAACCAATACGGCTGCCCTCTGAAACTGTCAAGATGAATGTAGGCTTGCAGGATCACTCTCCCTAGAAAAGTTATAAGGATCACGATGCCAGATTTGACTCTTCAACGGGGATGTACTCGGGACCATTTCTATAAGTCATCGCTGAAGCTGCCGATTGGATGACGCAACTGACCCCGCTGACCTTGGCTCAGAAGCTGGTCGATGGTCCAGGTGGCCCTTCCAGTGGCCAGGGGATGGAATGCCTCTTTTTCTCCTCTCACCTCTGGCCAGGTGTCCTCCTCCTGCCATACCCTTTGCCCTCTTCCGTATTTGGTTTTTCAAAAATCCCAAACTTTTTCATCAGACTAGACCATGCACGTCTCACCGTTTATTCTGAATGCGGAGTTTGGGCTTTCTGAACGCAAGATTTCATAAGAACATAAAGAGACGCCAATGTTGGATCAGGCCAAAGGCCCATCCAGTCCAACATTCTGTGTCACACAGTGGCCAGAAATACCAGGTGCCATCAGGAGGTCCACCAGTAAGGCCAGGATATTAGAAGCCCTCCCACTGTTGACCCCCCCCCAAGCACCAAGAAGACAGAGGATCACTTGCCCCAGAGCCCCTATCTATACCTTGTGGCTAATAGCCACTGATGGACCTCTGCTCCATATGCTTATCTAATTCCCTTTTGAAGCCATCCATTCTTGTAGCCGCCACCACTTCCTGTGGCAGTGAATCCCATGTGTTAATCACATTTCATTGGGGATTTTCAAATCCAATGAAGCCAGGTCAGAGAGATCACACCCCGCCACCTCTCTGGGGGCTGAGAAATTTGCAGTCTTTGTGCCGCAAACCATGGAAACTCCTTTTTCTTTTTCTTTTTAAAGAAACGAACTTCTAGATGCCCGAAAGGAGCATTTCCAGAATTGAAATTAGGTAAGGAGTTCAGTGATGTCGATTATCTGTGTCAAAGACTAGCCAGATGTCTGTGGCATCCTCTAAGAACTACCCAGCAAGTTAGCAGTTGGGTGCTTCCTTGAGGAACCTGGCCACCAAATACAGGCAGGGAGATCCAGGACTCGCAGTCTGTGTTTTAAAAGGGAAGTTGGTGCCATCTGCTGGTCCTCTGAAAAGAAATTCAAAGAAACTGCAAACTGTGCGCCGTTGAGGGAGAATATCTTAACAACCTTCATGGTTGTAGTCCTGCCAGAAATCACGCCATGCCATGCCCAAATGCAGAAGACTCGTGGCACTCTCTGCAAGGCCCAGAGTCGCTCGGAGTTCTAGACAGATTGTGGGGCTTTTCTGCTTGCCTTACCAGGCTTCAGTCCTGGGAGTTGATAGCCCCTACGACACATAAAGAGATCTGTTGGATCTCTTACTAAGGAATCCAGGCCAGCAGACTCTCTTCTCCCCTTTATCTCTTTTACTAAGTGCGGATCTTCCAGTTATTTGCATCTCTTATGCATTCTCCAGCCTCTCTTTCAGCAAGCAATAGCGCTCAAGGTCAGCAGCAGTGATCCTTCCCCCAACCCTTTCCCATCTTCCAGGAGTCCTCTTTTCCGCTGTCTCTGCATGTCTGCCGTGTCTTGTCAAAAGCGTGAAAGGCAGGAGGGTTCCTCATTCTGCCTCGTCCCCACTTTCACTTGACAGCAGGGGATGAGCAGGGCTATTTTGGGGCAGGAACGCGCAGGAACGGAGTTCCGGCTGGCTTCAGAGCTGACCACGCCCACTACAGCCAAAACCTCTGCGTGCGTGGCTACAGAGGGAAGGCCTGGAGAGCGACCCCCGCACAGTGACTCCGAGGCGGGTGGGCCAGGGGGCCCCCTGGAAGGACCGGGGAGGCATGTCCAAGGGCTGGCTTGCCCAGGCTCCCTGCAGCCACGGGGCACCCGGGCAAGCCAAGAGAAGGCATGGGGGTGTGGCCTAATATGCTAATGGGTTTCTGCTGTTGGGTGTGGCCTGTGATGCTAATGAGTTCCTACTGGGCTTTTTCTACAAAAAAAAGGCCCTGGGGATGAGTTTCTGGTTGTCTGAAGGACACCCCCCGCCCACACTGTTTGCTCCTCCCGCCCATCAAGCACCAGCATACTTTTGGCGCTGGAGGAGAGTATTATAGATCCTGTGGACCGCCAGAAAGACAAATCAATGGGTTCTAGATCAACTCAAGCCTGAACTCTCCCCTGGAAGCCAAAATGACTAAACTGAGGCTAGTGTACTGCGGCCATGTTACAAGAAGACAGGAGTCACTGGGAAAGACAGCAATGCCAGGAAAAGTGGAAGATCCAAGATGAGATGGATGGACTCAATCAAGGAAGCCTCAGCTTGCGAGACCTGAGCAAGGCTGCTAACGGCAGGACATTTTGGAGGTCATTAATTCATAGGGTCGCCATAAGCTGGAAGCCACACGGTGGCACTTTAACACACGTACTCACACACCTTCCCAAGGGCTTACTTGAAATGCACTTCAAAGACAGGGGACCAGTGTTCCCTCTAAGCTGAGTTAGTGTGAGCCAGCTCACAGTTTTTTAGCCTCCGGCTCACACATTTTTGTCTTGGCTCAGGAAGGATGGCTCCAAAGCAAACTGATTTATGCAAGAGCCAAATCGCCGGCTCACAGCTTTAATGCCAGTAGCTCACAAAGCAGAATATAATTGCTCACGAGACTCCACAGTTTAGCGGGAGCATTGCAGGGGATCCTTAGGCATGGTGTCTGCTTCCCATAACCCACAGGTGCCGGGGTGGGGGTGGGGGGCAGATTTCAATCCAGGCATAATAGAAATGGCCGGGGGTGGGGTGGGGGGGAGGAGCCAGCCTGAGTGATGGTTTGGGAAGTGGACTGTCAGCAAAGGCTCCACACAGCCTCTTCCAGACACTTTTCATGATATCTCATTTGTAAAAGTGCCCAGCTTAAAGGGCTGGTTAGCTGCCACGCTGTCAGTCATCCAACAACCGGTGAGAACAAATCTTATTCGTAGATGTGAACTCATTTACATTGTAAATAATCTGCGCTCCCCCCCCCCTTTTCAAAGAGTTGATCTGCTGGCAACACATTGAGTTTGGAAGGTTTAAAAACGGCCAGGCATAGTTTTAACCCAGGGGCAGGTTCAGGTAAAACTGTCCATGCAGTCACTGAGGACCAAGCATGATGGCACGTGGAGGGGCGTGGAGGTTTGGCTTCCTTCTGTCCCAGAGGGAAGCAATCCCCCTGCGTGTCTGTTGAACATTGGCACACCAGACCATTTTGCTCGACGTGCAGGCCTGGTTCTCTGGCCCAAGAGTCAAGGTGAGCCCCTGTGGTGCTACGGGCGGTGTGTGGCCACGCACGTTCCTACCACATTTTGTTTGCTCAACATACCAACCAGGCCCGTAGCCAGGATTCCTTTAGTTAAAGTAAAGGTAAAGGTTCCCTTGCTCGAAAGCCAGTCAAATCCGACTCTAGGGTTGCGGTGCTCATCTCCGTTTCAAAGCCGAAGAGCCAGTGCTGTCCGAAGACATTTCCGTGGTCATGTGGCCGGCATGACTAAACACCGAGGCGCACGGAACGCTGTTACCTTCCCACCAAAGTGGTACCTATTCATCTACTTGCAATTTCTTGCTTTCGAACTGCTAGGTTGGCAGGAGCTGGAACTAGAGACGGGAGCTCACTCCGTCATGCGGCACACTCGGGTCACGAACTGCGGAACTACTGACCTTCCACAGCCTGCAGTTCAGCGTCTTAACCACTTGAGCCACCGCAGCTCCTATTCCTTTAGTTAGGGGGCGTTTAAATTTCTTAGAGAACACTGGCTAACCAAATTAAAGGAATACCTGGCTCCTTCCCCTCATCCACCGCTGCTCGGGAGCCCTGGGCTGGATGGGAAGTTGTGGGGCCTGGACAGTAAGTCAGGGGGCCTAGCCCCAAGACGCCCCACTGTAGCTGTGGGCCTGATACCAACACCTTCCACTGGTAGATTTTGCCGGTTGCCTGCCCCTTTCCCAGGCCCTTGTGCTCCTCCAGCTGGCCAGAGTTGGCGTTCTATCCCAAATACTTTGCGAGAGACATCAAGGGCTCACTCACCTTCCAAAAAGGTCCGTGCAGCAAACATAGACAGGGTAGCTGGTAGAGTTGAGGTCTGTCGTGTTGAAGAAGCCTAAGCAATCGGTCACTTCTCCTCTGGGCACATACAGGATACCTGTGAGGCGCAGAAACCGCAAGAGAAGGCTGAGAGGTTCTGGACAGTAGGAATACTGTTAACGCAGATTGAGTCGAGTCCTCCACGGACACCTGCCCAGTAGGGTTTGCATTGCCTATATGCGGTCTGATCCGTTAAGTGAATGATCCAAAGTCAGCCTCAGCTAGTTTCCCCGCTCCCCTTTCTCCCAGCACTTCCAGTACTCCTGGTCTTGAACCCAATCCTCTCAATTTCCCACATATCCCCGGAGCCGTTGCCATCCCCAGACACCCAGACGATACCTGCGATGCAGGCGTTCATCAGAGAGACGCAGGCTCCTGTGAACAAAGCCCTTACGACGATGCTAGAAAATTCACTCTTGCGCTGCGGTGCCAGGGTCGCTGGATACAAACAGAAAGACAGAGCAGGAGGAGCTGAGTCAGACACTGGTTCTGACAAGCCGAAGCCCCCGGAAAGCCGTAGCGCTGGAGACAGCGACAGCCGCAACTTGGCAAGACTGCACAGGGAAGCTATGGTGTGGTGGGGCTGGGTGGTTTTGCCAAGGCTCTCTGAGGTCCTGGCAAACGGCACGGAGATCTCCCCAGACCTCCTCATCCATCCCAGCCTCAGAAAGGGCACGCTCCGTGCTGGGCTGCTAACTCACACAAGCCGCCCAGCATGATCCCGATGGAGCTCAGGTTGGCAAATCCACACAGAGCGAAGGTGGTGATGGTTTCAGCTCTCACCTGGGTAGAGAGAGAGAGAGAGAATTATTGGTGCCATGATAACACAACAGATACTCCCATCTATTCACCCTTCCCTGTCAGACTCAATAGCTGCATCCCTGCATGCGCTACACCCGTGAGAGATGTCAGGAGAGGCAGAGAGCACAAGGATCCCGGTACGACTCAGCATGGCCTATCCATGTCCCTCATTGATGATCGGGGCTCTATGCGGCACCTGCTTGCATCCTGGCATGACCCAGCATTAGCTAACCAAAGGGACAAATCGTCCTTATTTCTGAGACGCCGTGCCAGATGCAGTCCAGAGTGTGGGGCCCAACTGCCTCCAGACACTGTGCTCCTCCATCTCAATTTTTTCCCAGTCATCTCCCTGGAAGCTGCTGTGATATTTCACCCGCCTAACTAGCGGGACAAATTGTGCAGAACTAGCAAAGGCTAGCCCTCAATGGCCTCGCAGTGGGCTGTTCTACCTCCTAGCAAATTAACCAGGTCCCTTCTAAACGTGGCATCGGAGGAGAGTTTGACAGATACCGTGGACCGCCAGAAAGACAAATCGGTAGGTTCCAGGTCAAATCAAGCCGGGACTCTCCCTGGAATCTAAAAAGACCAAACTGAGGCTATCGTGCTTTGGTCACATTGTGAGAAGGCAGGAGTCACTGGAAAATATAATAATTCTGGGGAAAGTTGAAGGCTGCAGGAAAAGAGGAAGACGCAACAGGAGGTGGATGGATTCCGCAAAGTAAGCCGTGGCCCTCGGTTCGCAAGGCTGTTAATGAGAGGACATTCTGGAGGTCATTAATTCATAGGGTCGACTCGCGATGAGTTGGAATGCGCACAAACACACATCCTTCAGCTTTGTGTCACTGACTGAGAAGCTCTAGTATATGGTGCAAGGAGAGCACGGCCCCTGTAATTCTCCAAGGGAATACTGAGGTGTGTTGGTTGCCCTGCTGGAAATCAAAGGGCTGCGCGTGCGGCAGATCCGCTCCTTGCCGTTCGCACCACTGTCCTTTTGCACTGTAGATGGATTGTGAGAGGGATTACACGAGGGGAAAAAAACCGCAGAATGCCTGGCGGGTGAGGAACGTTTGGTGTCCTTCAGACTAGTTGCCAGATTCTAAAACTCCCACAAAGCCTCAGTGCGACAATGGAAACTGCTCTTTACAAGCTTTGTTTTTTGTTTTGTTTTTTGTTTCTGTATAGCCCTTCGAATTTCTTTCCAACCTCACCCGCCTGTATTACTTCATTACTTTCCTGAATAAATGTCGTGCTTGTTTTACTATACGTTGGATTCAGGGTCACGTGTGGGGAGATGGTAAGAGGGGTGGTGATAAGGTTTCCTGAGCAGATTCTGATTGTCTCGTTTCTTGATTTTTGTGCCTTGCTCGTGAGTATGACAGCAGGGTGTTACTCCCAAGGAGGCCTGGCTGTGGGTCAGGTGTCTCATGCTGCCATCCCACCCGCTCCTGGGCCAGCCAAAAAGGCGTGTTGGCCACCTGACACTTTTCTGCCGGGTCGCTGACTTCTCTCTCTGCTCAGCCCTCTGACACAGTGCCACAAAATGGCTGCCTCAAAAGGTAAGCCAGTCACAAAATGGCCACCACATCTTATCTTCGGTCACACAGTGAAGATCCTTGTGCTGCGGTGGCAGCTGCTCCCATAGCAATGTTATGAAATGTTAGAAAGCCAGCGTGGTGTAGTGGTTAAGAGTGGCGGACTCTAATCTGGAAAGAACTGGGTTTGATTTCCCACTCTTCCATATGAAGCCCGCTAGGTGACCTTGGGCCATTCACAGAACTCTCTCAGCCCCACCTAACTCCCAAGGGGCCAGTTGTGGGGAGAGGAAGGGAAGGCGATTGGAAGCCACTTTGAGACACATGAGGCCTGCTGGGTGACCTTGGGCCAGTCACAGTTCTCTCAGAACTTGCTCAGCCCCACCTAACTCACAAGGTATGTACTGTGGTGAGAGAAAGGGAAGGCAATTGTAAGCCGCTTTGAGACTCCTTAAGGTAGAGAAAAGCAGGGTATAAAAACCAACTCTTCTTCTAAAAATCTGCACAGGCAATCAAATCTCCAAAGGTCAATCAGAAGCCCTCCTGGGCAAGAGCCCCACTTTCTAAAAACACATAGCGGGTGCCAGGCAAAGTGTCGGTGGGCATCATGGAGCCCATGGGCACCATGTTGGGGATGCCTGCGCTATATTATCAACTGACCGCATTAGAGGAGGAGGAGAAGAGTGCAGGACGAGATCACCAAGGATATATTTTGCCTGGGGCCCTGGATGATCTCTGCGGCCTTGCCCTTGAGCCCCTAGAGACGGACTTTGCTCTAACGCACCTCAAGATCATCCACAAAAAGGGCAGGAGCAGCTCTCAGAAAACTTCCGCACTGTGGAATGGATGAGTCGCATTCGCCTCCTCTTTCCCCCCCTCTCATCTGTCCCTCCCTTCCCTGTCCCAACCGCGAGTCACCGGTGCACTTACAGAAATCCACTGCTTCTGCGACTCGTCCCACTCAGGACGCCCGTCCAGTCGTCGCTGTTTGTAAGTGGACAGCTGCTGGTAGGCCACAAACTCATTCAAGAAGAGCTTGACTCCCAGCATCTCGGCCACGAGGCCCGCGTCTTCCCAGCTGGCCCCTAACAGAAATGCCAGCGGCATCAGTACATAGGAGCAGATCAACTGGGAAGCAGAAACAGGGCTTGTGAATAAACTTGGTGGACAAATTAACTATCCATCCTCTTGCCCGCCCATTCCTTCTTTCCCACTCATCCCTTCTGGCTTCCATATTGCCCACAATCGCAATTCGGTACAAATTCACCTGCTAATTGTATGCCATTTCCTTCACCAAGTATGGGTGACGTTCTAGTATAGAACAGCCATAGTAATTCAAGTTAAAGTCGGTTCTTGAGGCACAGCTGGTTTATGGGAACCCTATGAAATTCTACCTTACAGGGTTTTCAAGGCAGGAGCAGAGCAGAGGTAGTTTGCCGTTGCCTTTCTCTGCATAGCAAACCAAGTCTTCTTTGGTGGTCTCTCCTCCAAGTATTAACCCTACTTAGCTCCCTTCAGAGGACGGCGGAAGACAGGAGGGCCTGGCGGGATCTTGTCCATGGGGTCGCGAAGAGTCGGACTCGACTGTGCGACTGAACAACAACAACAAAAAGCTCCCAAACTCTGACAAGATTGGGCTAATCTGGACTATTAGGGCTGCTAATCCAAGCATGGGGCAGTTGAAATCAAGGCCTGGAGGAGTCTCTACGTAAAGTGTATCCTTTCCACCCTGTGATCATCCTGGTGTCCTCGCAGTCAGCGTGGTGGTCTTGTAGGGGGTTACCTGGAAGGAGAGTCCTGCAATGTTGACCATGTTCCCCAACCAAGCGAGCGTGGCATTGATGAACTCCAGCACTGCCAGGAAGGAGATGAGGTTGGCCGCAATGTTAGCCACCAGACCCACAGAAACCGAGGCACCGTTGCCGATGGCTTCCAGAATATTCTGCTCTGCTCTGTGAGAACATACCAAGGAAGAAGGCTGGAAGAAGGGAGCCGTGACTCTTGAAAGCTCATCCCCTGAAAATCTTGTTGGCCTCTAAGGTACTACTGGACTTGAATCTAGCTGTTTGACTGCAGACCAATGCAGCTACCCTCTGAAAGCAAGGATCCTTCCCAGAGATTCAGGAGCAGAGGGGCACCACTGAAGTGGCAATAGGAGGAGGGATTGCCCATGAAATGTCTTGCAGGGCAATCTTCAACATGTTTGCTCAGAAGTCTCTTTAAATGCCTTCTAAAGTCACTGCGGCATGACTTGGCGAGTGAACTTAAAATGCTTGCTGAGTTCACTCAGGGAGTCGTGCTGCCACCACGGCATGACTCGGTCAGTGAACTCAGCAAGCATTTAAAGTTTAAATCCCTTCTTCATTATACCCTATGGGGACAGTCCAAATAGAGATAATGGAGCCGAATAAATTCGGGTTTCCCGAATATTTACCCGAATACCAATACAAAATCGATATTGGAATTCGGGAATATTCAGGAAACCCATTATTTTTCGGGTCCCAGAGACCCAAATTTTTAAAAAGGTGATTTTTTTTTTGCACACTCCTAGTACTGAACCAAAAAAACCAAACCAAAGTAACACAAAATCAAGGAAAATGAGTATGAGGGAAAGCCCTCTTTCTCCAATCTAATTCTGTGTCATTCTAGCAGACGAATACAACTATTTTAACTCACCCACGGGCAATTTTCACACCCTCCCGGCTCCGGAACTTGGACTCTTCTACTTCTGGGTAGACGAGTTTCGCCATTGCCAAAGCACAGGGCGCGGCCATCACAGAGGCCGCGATCAAGGACGAGGCGTCAATCTGCAGCAGAAGGTGTAAGATAGTGAATAAGAGGCAGGATTTGAGAAGCAGGATTTGAGAAATCAGGACTGGGCAAGAGATAGCAAAGTCAGCCAGCTCGCAATTGTCCCGTGTTCATCTCTTGTTCCTTCTGGGTTGTTTTACACAAGCATAACATCTGCCCTGTCCCTTCCCCTCGCTTGGGGAAATGTCACCTTCTCGAAACTCTGGTTGGAGACAAGGGCAGTCATTAACTCCTGCTCAGGAGATGTCCACAGCCATGAAAGAACGCGAGCACTTTTCTGTCGAGGGCCCTGATAAAGTTGTCACTTTAAGCCGAACCCAAGTGATAAACTCAGGATTCTGACAGCACAGTCAACATACAATTTTTGTGTACTGGTTACCTCTATGTTTGAACAGTGTCATGGGTGAAATGCAATTTTTGGATCCTCTATCAGATCCTTAAACGGCATAGTTTTGGAGGGTAGCTGTGTTGGGCTGAAACAGAACAGCGAGATTTCGAGTCCACTAGCACCTTAGAGACCGACAAGATTTGGAAGGGTATTAGGTTTCCAAGAGTCAAAGGTCCCTTTGCCAGCTCATCTCTAAAGCTCATACCCCCCAAAATCTTGTTGGTCTCTAATACCAGGGAAAGTTGAAGGCAGCAGGAAAAAGGAAGACCCAACACGAAATGAATTGAGTCAGTCAACTGAAGCCATGGCTCTCAGTTTGCGAGACCTGAGCAAGGCTGTTAATGACGGGACTTTTTGGAGGTCATTAATTCATAGGGTCGCCTGGGGTCGGAAGTGACTTGACGGCACTTAACACACACACACACACAAACACACAAGGTGCTGCTGGACTCGAAGCTAGCTGTTGAATGGCATACTCACCCCAAATGAAATGTAGGCTCCCAACACACTGCCAGCGATAGTGGCAAAGCCGCCGGTCATCACAGCGTGGACTTCCGACTTGGTCATATCCATCAGGTAAGGGCGGATCAGCAGCGGTGCCTCCGTCTGCAAGGCAGAAGGTGTGTATTGAAGACTTTTGCCTGTGAGAGAGAGGGAGGGAGGGAGGGAGGAGGGAGGGAGGAAGGAAGGAAGGAAGGAAGGAAGGAAGGAAGGAAGGAAGGGGTTTCCTGCCTGGCAACTGCAGTCCAATTAAAGGAGAGACAGAGCCCTGAAACGAGGAGCCCAAGGAAGAACAGTGTGCAACCTGATCTTTCTTTGCTCAGGAGTACTGGGGCACTAGGAACATGCAAGGGTGAAATTCAGGGTGGGTCTGACCTACCAGATTATCATTACTTTGAAATATCAACCTTTCACTTGTGTTAGCTTCTTGGGCTTTAATCTTTAACTTGTGCTAGGTGTTGGGAGAGGCATCCCCTCTCAGCTGGGTATTGGAAGAGGCATTCCCTTCCTTGGTGTGTCAACAGAGAACACCTCTTCTAAGATGACACCAGAAGAGGAATTCCGTATCATGTATATGAAAAAAAAATAGGGACTGAAATTGGAAGAGGCATTTAGAAACACTCAGAAAGTTTCATGTTGGTTAATTTTATATAATGCATACACTGCATAATATCAACTACCATGTTATTATATTTCTTGCTTTGTGCTCGTGGCTCACTGTACCAATCTGAATTATAGCAGACCGATAGCGGTGGCCTCCCTTGTTTGGTAACTGAAATTCCACCCCCTGCAGTGGAAGGAAACCTACTTACCATCCCGACAAATACATTCCCTACCACGCTCAGTGACTCTGTGGGTGCTGTGCCCATGGTGATTTGCAGGATCCAAGACAACTGCAAGAAGGAGCCACAGATAATTAGACAAGGGGGCACTGTTGCCCATTCACACAACCTGCAGGGCCCAGCAAAGAGGCTTTTAAAGGGCCATTCCTCCCCCTCACTTTTTCACCTGTCCGAGACAGTTCAGCCATATCACAGCCTGTGTGACTTTGTGCTTGCTAACAAAGCTGCCTTCATCAAGACATCCCACCAGCCTCTGTGTGCTGCCATACCAACAACAATTCCTAACCATGGGGAATGTTTTTTAGGGGTATTATCACCACAGGGAATGGGTTTGGGGTGGTGTTATCCTCCCTGTCTGGAGGTGCTAAGGAGACAGACAAATCAGGATTTGTTCCTCTCGTCTTGTAGATGAAACGGAATGTGTTGCACAAGAAATGGGGGTTCTCTGTCCAAGCTCCCTCTAGTGGTCACTTCAGCCTTTCATCACTGTTCCTTGGGGTTTTTTATGAGCACTTTAAAGTGCTCATAAAAAACCCAGAGAAACAGCGAAAGAGTGAAGTGACCACTAGAGGGAGCAAAACGTGCAAAAAAGCCCCTGACAGGACAAGCACACAACGGACAGAAATAACGTGCAGGAAAATCCCATAGTTTAAACGAACCCCCGTTTTCCCCACACTATCAGAATACAACTGTAGAAGTGCTCAGTAGCCATTGGTTCCAGCACTTGGAGCCTCATGCCAAATATTACCTTCAGGATCACCCACTGTATGACTCCCAGGTAGTAGAGAACGGACATCACCGAGCTGAAGAAGATGATGATAGGCAAAGCCTGGAGACAGAAAAGGCCCAGAGTACATCAGTCTTTGGCACCTCCATACCAAACCTGATGCTACAACCGAGCATGCAGAGGTCATTTCGGGGGGGATCGCGGGGGATCGCACGGGGGGCGGGGCACATGACGAAGCCCCGTCCCCTGCTTCCAGCCGCCCCGCTTCCGGCCCTCATTCAGCTATTAGGAGGCAAGAGAAGAGGGAGGGTAAGTTGCTTCCTCCCTGCCTCTCCCCACCCCTGCCTGCCTGGGGCCAGGGAGGGCCTTCGCGGGGCTTCCTTGCACTCCCACCGGCCTTGCAGGTCCACCGCCGGGCCCCTCATGGGGCTCGGCAGTGGAGCTGCAAGGCTGGCAGGGGCGGCCGGGACCGTTGGGGGCGGGGCGTGTGGCCTTATGACACACTTCTGGTGATGTCAGGGGGTGTGGCCTTATGACACACTTCCGGTGATGTCAGGGGGTTTGGCATATGCTAATGAGTTATGCTAATGAGTTCCCCTAGCTCTTTTTCTACGAAACGACCCCTGCGAGCATGTATAGCTGCTGGGGCAGGAAGTATGTACAAACTCGACCCAAGGACCACAGTGTAGTAGTCTGATCTCTCGAGCAATAGCACTGTGTAAGTTATATTTGTAATATATAAAGTATGAAACAAACATATACTAATCAATTTCAGAATTGTTATTTGTATTTATATCTGTGATTCTCTCATTGAAATACCACATAACATATACTGGAACATAATAGAAATCCAACTGGATATGTTTTACAAGAACCATCTATTCTATAGAAACCTGTCACGTCAAAAAAAGACCCCGTAGGGTTGTAGAACAGCGCCGAAGACTCGAAATAGGCAGAAATATGAGACGACTGCAAGACTACGAGAACCGGTATAGCCTCGTTTCTGACGCCTTCTTCAGGTCTTAAAGGCATCAAAAGTAAAGTGTATATACAAATCTGAAAGTAGTGAAAATTGAAAATTACAAAAAAAAAACATGCTGAAGTTGATTAGTATGTGTACATATTTCATACTTTATTTCATACTTTATGTATGACAAATATAACTTGCACGGTGCTGTTGCTTTAGTGTTTGGGGCCGGAAACATGGCACAGAAGGACAGAGCGGGATCCAGGAGGCAAACCCGGGGGGGATAAAGACAGGGTGCCATGAACTGGCCCAGTCACCTGGACTGGCAAAGGAAAGCACATTTGGATCTTTGACAACTGCCGGGTGTTTGTTATGTGGTCTCTTCTGGCCCATTTTGGGGGGAGATCCGGTTCAAGGTCCTTGCCCGGACTGTAGCCCACCGCCCAAGCGAGCACCATCCCACCCTGGCTGCTTGAAAAGCCATTTCATTTTAAGGCCTTGGTTACACCAGGGACCGAGAGAGAAGCTCCTTCCCAAATCTGACCTGGAAGGCGAAAACATTCTGAATCAGTTGGTCTCCAAAGACGAATCGGGAACCGGCCGTGGTGTAGTTCAGGAAGGTCTGCAGGGGAAGACAGAAAGCTGTGGCTGAGTTTGGAGCTGCCTTCGCTTGAGTGGTCTGGAATAGGATGGATGCTCTCTGCTCCTGAGCACACTGGCTGAGCACATGGGCCTGTTAAAGATTAGGCCTCTCGTGGTGTAAAGCTAAAGTTGATCTGTGACACTGCAGGTCCTTCCAGACAAAAAGAAAAGCAAGCGTTTTTGGTTTTTTATAATGCTAGATGTGTGCTACCCCATCCTGGATGGCCCAGGCTAGCCTGATCTCACCAGATCCCGGAAGCTAAGAGGGTCGACTCTGGTTAGTACTTGGACGGGAGACCACCAAGGAAGTCCAGGGTTGTTAGGCAAAGGCAGGCGATGGAAAACCACCTCTGTTCCTCTCTTGCCTTGTAAACCCTCTGGCGTCACCACAGGGGTCATTTCCAGCAGGAGTGCACAGGAGCGGAGCTCCGGCAGTAAAGAGCCCAGGGGGCGGGCACATGCAACAAGCCCCGCCCCCTGCTCCCAGCAGCCCTCAGTCAGAGCAAGGAGCAGTCAGGTAAGTTGCAGAGCTCCTCCCAGCCCCCCAGTCCAAAACAGTCCAGTGGCACCTTTAAGACCAAGTTTTATTCAGGTACAAGCTCTCCCTCCTCTGCGAGGACAGATCTGCACGTTCCCCCCCCCCAATAGCTAGCAATCCAAAACAGTCCCGTGGCGTCTGAGCGGTGGGTGTTGCCTTCTGACACACTTCCGGTGATGTCAGGGGGTGTGGCATATGCAAATAAATTATGCTAGTGGGTTATGCTAATGAGCTCCTGCATCTCTTTTTCTACAAAATGACCCCTGCGTCACCATAAAGTGGCTGCGACTTGACAGCGCTTTCCATCACCAGATTAGTGATAGGCTTAGGCTTATTCTGTGCCATTTATACAAGATCTAATTCCCACAAAATAATCTTTTCATGCTTTGCTTCTCAGAGGGCTTCACCTGCCCTGCAAAGAGCGCCTGCTGTTCCCACATTCGGAGGCCTCAGACCACTGAATACCTCTTGCTGGGGGGAGACAGCTGGGGCGGGGGGGGGGAGGCTTTGGCTTCTGTAGGGCTGAAGCACTTGACACCTGCTATCACATTGACCGATCACAGAGTGGCCTTGTGAATTAACATTCTAATTTTGCAGCTGACAGGAAGGAAAATGAAGAACCGGGTTCACCAATTAGCTTTGAAGCCAGGTTTCCCCTGCTCCAAATCCGGCACTCCCTCTGCAAGGTCGTAAGTGTTTTCCTTATGGAAATGTGCTACCAAATAAATATTTGTGAATGGCACCCCATGCCACCCCTGGATTTATATCTGGTGTGGCCTCATTTGGAGTAGTATGTACGGTTCCACACCTCAGAAAAAGATATTACAGCATTGGAAAAGGTGCAGAAAAGGGCAACTAAAATGAATACGGGAATGGAACACCTGTATGAAGAAAGGTCAAAGAGGTCAGAGCTCTTTAGCTTGGAGAGACGATGACCGAGGGGTGACATGATAGAGGTTTACAAAACTATGCATGGGATAGAGGAGATTGAGGAAGAAGTACTTTTCTCCCTTTCGCACACTATAAGAACTCGTGGGCACTCCATGAAATCAATGAGCAGTTGGCTTAGCACAGATAAAAGGAAGTCCTCCTTCCCCCCAAGAGACATTAACATGTGGACTTCACTACTGCAGGAAGTGGTGGCAGCTCCAAGCATAGACAGCTTCAAGAGGGGATTGGAGAAACATCTGGAGCAGAGGTCCATCGGTGGCTTTTATCCACGAAGTATAGATGGAACACTATTTGGCCTCAGTTTTTGCTTCTTGCCACTAGCATCCTTCTCACCACCTTATGTCTCCCCAAAAGAGGTCCTGACGTTGGCCTGAGTTAGGACGTCTGGCCAGGTCACGCTGCTCCATACCTGGATCTGTTCGCCCAGCCACTGGAAAGCCTGGAATCCAGGCTCTGTCCGGATGATGAAGATCCCGAGGAGGAACTCCAGGCCAAGACCCCAGATCACAGCCCTCCAGGACACCTACAATCCAGCACAAACACAGGAATGAGCGCAGGAAGCCAGGGGAAATTCTGTGAAAGGGTCAACAGCGGCCCAGGGAGGCAGAACTTGGAACTTCATGGCGAACACAAGTATAGTGATGAGCTAGATTCTGCATGTATCTGACGACGGGTCCCAGCAGGGCTGTTCTGATGTTCTTATGAAGGCCTCGGATTCTATGCCCTGTTGCTGGCCCTCCAGAGGAGCTGATTGGCCACTGGGTGAGACAGGATGCTGGGCTAGATGGACCACTGGTCTGATCCAGCAGGGCTCTTCTGATGTTCTTAGGAAGGCCTTGGCCTCTATGCCCTCTTGTTAGCCCTCCAGAGGAACTGATTGGCCACTGGGTGAGACCGGATGCTAGACTAGATGGACCACTGGTCTGATCCAGCAGGGCTCTTCTGATGTTCTTATGAAGGCCTCAGCCTCTATACCCTCTCGTTAGCCCTCCAGAGGAACTGATTGGCCACTGGGAGAGACAGGATGCTGGGCTAGATGGACCACTGGTCTGATCCAGCAGGGCTCTTCTGATGTTCTTAGGAAGGCCTTGGCCTCTATGCCCTCTTGTTAGCCCTTCAGAGGAACTGATTGGCCACTGAGTGAGACAGGGTGTCAGACTAGGTGGGTATTGCTCTGATCCAGCAGGGGTCTTCTAATGTTCTAAAGAGAAGCGGATTACTACATCACGTGCATCACATATCTCAAAGGCCCAAACCAAAAGAAGTGCTTCTACTTACAGCCCTGTGGTGTTTGGAGCTGGCAAAGAGCACCAGAAGCAATGTGCAGAAACCCCCCAACGACACTAGCTGCTCCCGCCTTTGGGATATGTCAAGAACCAGCCATATGATCAGAGCGATCAAAATGATGATACACAGCACCCTGGGGAAAAAGGAGAATGCCGTTACAGAGATACACCTTGGGACAAGGGCTGCCTTATTCCGTTGCTCTCATGGGATCAGTAAGACATTGAAGTTGATGCAACATTTGAGGCTGTGGCTCAGTGGTAGAGCATCTGCTTGGTATGCAGAAGGTTCCAAGTTCAGTCCCCGGCATCTCCAGCTAAAAAAGGACCGGGCAAGAGGTGATGTGAAAGACCTTTGCCTGAGTCTCTGGAGAGCTGCTGCCGGTCAGAGTAGACATTAGCAGGGGTTATTTCCTGCAGGAGCGCACAGGAGCAGAGCTCCGGCAGTCAAGAGCCCAGGGGGCGGGCACATGCAACAAGCCCCACCCCCTGCTCCCAGCAGCCCTCAGGCAGAGCAAGATGCAGCCAGGTAAGTTGCAGAGCCCCCCCAGTCCAAAACAGTCCAGTGGCCCCTTTAAGACCAAGTTTTATTCAGGTAAAAGCTCTCCCTCCTCTGCGAGGACAGATCTGTACGTTCCCCCCCCCCCCCCCCAACAGCTAGCAATCCAAAACAGTCCAGTGGAGCCTGAGCGGTGGGTGTTGCCTTCTGACACACTCCCGGTGATGTCAAGGGGTGTGGCATATGCAAATAAGTTTTGCTAATGAGCTCCTGTACCTATTTTTCTACAAAATGACCCCTGGACACTACCTACCATGGTAGACCAGTGTTCTGACTCAATGTAAGGCAGCTTTGTGTGTTTGGGTGCTGAAAACAAAATTCTGGAACACATTTTGAGAATGCTTTGATTAAATACTTGGCTACTGGTACATCTCCTCAGCCAATGGGGTTCTCTCCTGCTTTTCCTTGCCCCCCCCTTCCCCGCCTTTTCCCCTTCTCTTTGAAGCATCAGGGATGCCCTGTTTTGTCACACCATTGTACAGTGAGAAAGAGATCATTACAGGTGAATGACTAGCGCATATTGTAAGTGGTCTTTATATTTACAGAAAAGCAGAATGGCTATTTTGTAATGAGCCCGGAGGAGGGTTGTTACCGGAAGAGTATGATTAGTGCTTATTCCGATGTAATTTTGAAATTCTTTTTGAAATCCAATCAAATAATAGGGGGAAAGAGGAATCATTACTGAACAGTAGATGATTATGGAGCAAAAGAGACAAGAAGAAGAAGATGATGATGAGGAGGAGGAGGAGGAGGAGGGGGGGAAGAGGAGGAAAAGGAGTTGGCTTTTATACCCCACTTTTCTCTATTGTAAGGAGCCTTGGAGTGGCTTACAATCTCCTTCCCTTCCTCTCCTCACAACAGACACCCTGTGAGGTAGGTGGGGCTAAGGGAGTTCTGAGAGAACTGTGACTAGCCCAAGGCCACCCAGCTAGCTGCGTGTGGAGGAGTGGGGAATCAAACCTGGTTCTCCAGGTTAGAGTCCACCAATCTTAACCACTACACCACGCTGGCTAAAAGGTGGCCTCCTGGACATATTTTGTTGGGAATAAGAATCCAGCGGCATTTGCTTTGCTTCCAGATAAACACAGTGAAGATCAGGGACCTGAAAGTGTGTGGCCCTGGTAGCTTTATTATTGGATCACCGAGACTGAAAGTGGATGGATACCATAGGAAGGAAGGCAACACCAAGGAAATCCCACAGCACGAATGTCCAAAAAGATATTGTAGCACCGGAAGAACATCACTGGAGGATCTCGGGAGCTTCTCACTACAGGGACGTATTCAGACTATTGCTATTGGAAAACCGCCACTACATATTTATTTACTTGAGAGCCAGTTTGATGCAGCGGTTAGGAGCACAGACTCTAATCTGGGAGAACCGGGGTTGATTCCCCACTCCTCCACATGCAGCTACTGGTGTGACCTTGAGTCAGTCACAAGTTCTCTGAGAGCTGTTCTCTCAAAGACAGTTCTTGGAAGAGCTCTCTCAGCCCCAACTACCTCCCAGGCAGTGTTCCCTCTAAGCTGAGTTAGTGTGAGCTAGCTCATGGTTTTTTAGTCTCCGGCTCACACATTTTTCTCCTCGCTCAGGAAGGATGGCTGCAGAGCAAACTAATTGATGCAGTAGCCAAATCGCTCGCTCACAACTTTAATGCCAGTAGCTCACGAAGTACAATTTCTGCTCACAAGACTCCACGGCTTAGAGGGAGCATTGCTCCCAGGGTGTCTGTCGTGGGGAGAGGAAGGGAAGGGGATGGCAAGCCGTTCTGAGACTCCTTCAAGTAGTGAAGGGTGGGGTATAAATCCAATCCCTTCTTCTTCTACTACTGTATTTGTATCCCACCTTTCTCCCCAACAGGAACACAAAGCAACTTATCTTGTTCTCCCTTCCTCTGTTTTATCCTCACAACAGTCCTGTGAGGTAGGCTAGGCCGAAAGGGAAGGACTGGCCCAGGGTCACCCACCAAGCTTCCAGGGCACGAGTGGGGATTTGAACCTGGGTTTCTCAGATCCTAGTTGGGCACTTTAACCACTACACCACGCTGGGAACAGCCAAAAAACGTTACCAGCAGGGAATCCTTATGGGGATGCTGTCCTAGGTGGAGATGGTCCAAGCAGTAACGTGCGACTGAAGTGAAATTAACCCCGCCCCCTGCAGCTACGGTGGGGCTATTGGGGGCTCTGCCCCCTCCCTTAAAGGGACAGCCTCACAAGATTCCCCTCAGAAATTATTTTAAAATCATTTCCCAACATTTTTAAAAGGCACACACTCCCTGGCCGTGCTGCAGCTAGCCGCATGCTAAACAGACCCTTTAAAAAGACGAGCGCGAATCATATTCTCCCGACGAGAAGAAGCCCCGGTGGCACCTCCTCCCTCCACCCAAAGATTCAAGGAACTCCAGTGGGGCCGTGGCTCGTCCAGAGCCCCACTTCCACAGGCCCAGAGTGACCCCCCCGACAGAAAAATAATGGCAATCCCACCAGAAAAAAATTTGCCCCACAAGCCACAACATCCTGGCTACAGGCCTGAACCCAACTCACCATTTCAGCCAAAACCAGGAGCGCCGGAAGCATTTCCCAAGAGGGCTGAGCAGGCGGGCGATAGTTGCCCCGCACCACTTCTTTACCAGGGTGTAGAGCCCAAGAAAGACCGCCAAACATGTTAAAACGACCAAAGCCAGGGCCCGCTGGAAGTCCAGCCAACAGGCTGCAATGAAGTAGGCCAGGTAAGCTAGAAAGAAGAAGAAGAAGATATTGCATTTATACCCTGCCTTTCACTTGGAGTCTCAGAGTGGCTTACAAACTCCTTTTCCTTCCCCTCCCCACAACAGACACCCTGTGAGGTGGGTGGGGCTGAGAGAGCTCTTTCCAGAACTGCCCTTGAGAGAACAGCTCTGAGAGAACTTGTGACTAACCCAAGGTCACAGCAGCGGCTGCATGTGGAGGAGTGGGGAATCAAACCCGGTTCTCCCAGATGAGAGTCCGCACACTTAACCACTACACCAAACTGGCTCTCAAGAGGAGACACGAGACCCACAGGCAGTGGATCAGTTCAGTTATCACAGGGTGGCACTGGCTTTCCCTTCTCCCATGGATTTTTAAGAGACTGAGATCCTTATTCTCAGACGCTGCAGTGAGAGGGATGCCAGGCCGTGCGTTGCTAAGCGTGCCTTAGTGTTCCTGCATGTGAAGTGACATAGATGCGGGCTATGATCGGGATGCACCAATAAGATCTACAGCAGCCCCCCCCCCCCCAATCTTTCTGAGTCTATGAGCACTCCATGAAATTAGTGAGCAAGTTGGCTTAGGGCAGGTAAAAGGAAGTCCTTCTTCACCCAAGGAGGAACTAACATGTGGAATTCACTGCTGCAGGAACTGGTGGTGACCACTAAGCACAGACAGCTTCAAGAGGGGATTGGAGAAACATATGGAGCACCAGTCCATCAGTGGCGGACATTCTGTCAGGGGCAGTGATGCTCTGTCTTCTTGGTGCTTGGGGGGAAACAGTGGGAGGGCTTCTGGAGTTCTGGCCCTGCGGGTGGACCTCCTGGTGGCACCTGGGTTTTGGCCACTGTGTGACACAGAGTGTTGGGCTGGATAGGCCACTGGCCTGATCCAACATGGCTTCGCATATGTCCCTGCGTTCAGTGCCAGAACTTCTGTCCAGCTATATCAGCATCTGGCTGGGCCATAGGAGTCATGGCAGGGCAGGGGTCTCCAAACGATGAACTCGTGGGCACCTTTGGGATTTAGACCGAGGGCAGTGGGCACAGTCACAGAATGACCGCTGCGGGAGGCGAAACTAAGCACCAAATATGTTGTCGAAGGCTTTCATGGCTGGAGTTCATTAGTTGCTGTAGATTTTCCGGGTTGTGTGGCCGTGGTCTTAGCATTGTAGAACCAATGGTTCCACACAGCCCGGAAAATCTACAGCAACTAATAAGCACCAAATGTCTGGGAGCGAGGTTATACATGAAAAAGTAAACTCTTCAACATTTCAGGACTCTTTTAACAGGATGCCTTTTTACATGCGCAGCCAGTGAGAAGCATTGCTGGGTACTGCTTTCTGAAAGCACTTCGTAGGGACCAGCAAAGGAGTCGGTGGGGACCCTGGCGTCATAAGAACATAAGAGATGCCAGTGTTGGATCAGGCCAAAGGCCCATCCAGTCCAACACTCTGTGTCACACAGTGGCCAGAAATACCAGTGCCATCAGGAGGTCCACCAGTGGGGCCAGGACATTAGAAGCCCTCCCACTGTTGACCCCCCCCCCCAAGCACCAAGATGACAGAGCATCACTTGCCCCAGAGTCCCTATCTATACCTTGTGGCTAATAGCCACTGATGGACCTCTGCGTCCACGGGCATCATGCTGAGGACCTCTTTGTCAGGGCTTCTCCCGGCTGTGCTTATAGCACGACCACTGAGTGGACACAGCTTTAGCTCTGTCACTCAAGCACAGTCCCCGCCCACCAGTATTCCATCTCTGTGGGTTTGCAGCAAGAGAGGGGAAACCCACGTGATCCGGAACCTCAGCTTCCCTTGTCCTCCCTGTCCCCAAATGTACAGACGGTGCGTGCCCGTCTCAAGGACTCACCTGCAGCCAAGAGACCCAAGACGATCCTGTGAAGTGTCTTGGCGTGAGCCTGGCAAAACCGCCTCATTTTGGAAAACGGCTCTGCGGCGTTCTTCAACCTGAGGGGATTCACATGAATAAAATAAGGATGGGGAGGGACTGAAATACTGCCTTGGGGAAGGGCTTCCAAAGAGATGGGGAATTCAGGGCAGCATGCTGCGGGGGTGTGGGCCTTTCATACGGAGTCCCTAGATGCTTACGGCCGTGCCTCTCAAACTCTGGTGGGACCCACATCTTAACTTACTCTATTTTCCAGGACCCCCCTGACAAAGTTAATTTCGTGGTTCTTTCCCTCTCTCTGACATAAAGGGCAAGAGCCTCACATCAGTTGTAAAGTTAGCATTTATAATTATAGAGCACTAGTGGGCCACAAGGTGGCATTTCATAGCCATTCTCTTCCATCTTCTCTTGGTCTTGAAGGACAGAAGAAGAGATTGGATTTATACCCTGCCCTTCAGTACCTGACGGAGTCTCTGAACAGCTTACAATCTCCTTTCCCTTCCCCTCCCCACAATAGATACCCTGTGAGCAGTGTACCCTCTAAGCTGAGTTAGTGTGAGCTAGCTCACTGTTTTCTAGCCTCTGGCTCACAGATTTTTGTCTTAGCTCAGGAAGGAGGGCTCCAGAGCAAACTAATTGATGCAGTAGCCAAATCACCTGCTCACAACTTTTAATGCCCGGAGCTCACAAAGCAGAATTTTTGCTCACAGGACTCCATAGCTAAGAGGGAACATTGCCTGTGAGATAGGTGGGGCTGAGAGGGCTCTTTCGAGGACTGCTCTTGAGAGAACATCTCTGAGAGAATTTGTGACTGACCGAAGGTCATACAGCAGCTGTATGCAGAGGAGAGGGGAATCAAATCAGGTTCTCCCAGATTAGAGTCCACACTCCTAACCACCACACCAAACTGGCTCGGACTGGGGCCCCCATGTAAGAGAACTGTGACCCACTTTGGGGCACCCACCCACAATTTGAGAACAACTGGCTAAGAGCACAGGGAGAAAAGCTGGAAGGGGGGGGTCTTTAATGATACAGGCGGACGAGAACGGAAGTAAATAAACATAGGTGAGGTACTTTTGGAACGGAGCACGTGGTGCACGTTTTTCTTCCTGCACCTCAGCACTGCGATGATTCACTGTCACCTCAGGATTTCCCTCGCATTCCTGTAGACAACGAAAGTTGCTGTCGTGTCGTGTGGGAAAGTGCAAAGGGCAGAGCTAATGAGACAGGGAGTCATTTACCGTCAGCTCCAACGCCGGGTTCTCGTGGCCACCGCGTTCTTCGAGCGACATCCTGACTTCTCCCATCTCCCCGGCACGCTGCAGCCACCACACAAGCTCTAGGGTTAAACCACAAGACACAGATCGCACAGTAATTCTAGGAAGGGATGGAGCAACATCCTCCCAGGTTTCAGGGAACCCATGAACCATTGCCCACTTCCGTTCTCCGGCTCTGCATCCCTGACTTCATGGCTTTCGACTTTGAGTGCAGATGTTAACTGGGCTTCCTCCACAAGGGAGACAGAGGAAGCCACCGACAGATTTAACGACACAAACCGCCTGCACAGAAGTGACACGATAGAGATTGCAGCTACTCTGGGTGCTGACTGTCCCAGGTTCGATTCCTGGCATCTTCACAGAGAGGGATCACAGGCTGGGAAAGAGCTACCCAAGACCCTGGAGAATTGCGCCCAGTTAAGATGAAGACCTAGATGGACCCAGTGGTCTGACTTGGTACAAGGCAACTTTAGATGTTCATAATCCTTGACAACTGGTCCACCAGTTCAGGTATCCCACACCCTGCTCTGGGCCCCTCAGCTTCCATCAGGGGCTCCAGAGAGCCCGTCTCTCCTCTCCAAAGCCCCCCATCGGGCAATTTCTAATACCCAACCCTCAGAAACCGGAAGCAGAACAACTCACGGGGGGCGGGGGGGGGGAGAATCAAGTCGCTTCTGTGGTGTCACGGAGGTTTCCTTCTTGAATCTGCTCGGTCTCCCAGCTGGGCAATGGATTGGTTATCGATTAACAGCACAGTCCAAAGAACTGAAGGTAGAACTCCCATCCTGGCAAAACTCCTGCTCCTCCCTCTGCACACACCTGAGGTTCGCTCAGCTGCAGTCCGTAGTCTCCTCTGCTCCACGTTCCTATTTTGGAACAGAAACACCAGTGAAGAAGGGGCTCTTATCGGGATACTTGGTTAATATAGCAGAGTTTGCCCAGTCATTGGAGTGTGATCCTGAGTGCAGTAAATATATCTCCGAAGAAGTATACTGCAAAAAAGGTTAACTTTACATTGATTCAAGTAGATCCAGTTCACATTCAGGTTGCAGTCGAAAGGAGAGACAGAAGCCTAATCTAGGCTGTGGTCACACGGAGCATTAGCCACGCTACTGAGACAGATGATAGGTGGATTTTCTGGGCGCGATCACACCGCAACATCTGGGAAGCGTAGAGCTCCCATGGCGAACCCGAGGCTTCCCGCCAAAGATGCGGAGTTAAAAACTAGTACCTCCGAGGTACTAGTTTCCGGAAACTGCGGGGCAAGGGCTGGCGTCTGATCGCGTTTCCGGTGGTCGTCCGTGGCATCCGACGCCCGCCCATGTCCCGTTGCAAACAGGTTCCCCCCCCCCCAAGTCTCCACAGGATGCACACAAGCACCCAACGGCACATGCGCACGAAGAGGAAAGCGAAAGTTCCGTTGCGCCGCAGAATCGCGCATGCCGTTGGTGAGATCACGCCGCACCGCTTCTTTGCCGCACTGCAGGATCGTCGTGTGATCGCCACCTCACCCCTACCCACGGGACCTCAACGGGACCTGTGATCGGATGGCCGCGCGTTATTTTGCTCCGGGCCAAACTGCCACGCTTCCCCTCTGCATTTACGGCCTGTGTGACCGGGACCCTAAAGAGTATTTTCCCCTATCACAAATGGCCAGCTTGTCTGGCATCATGTGTGTGGGGTTATGAGGGCAATTGTATCGACACAAGAGACCTGCAGAGACATGGGTCTCCATGGAAGGCCATGTGCAGAGAGGGAGAGGACAAAGGGAGAAAGAGGAGGGGTCAGAGGGCAGCTCCCAGGTGAAGACAAAGAGAGGCATCCCATTCAAGGAGAGAATACCTCTACACCCTTAGAGCGATGTAGTGCCCCCTCCCCAAAGTCCAGGCATCCTGAGTCGCTCACTCCAACAGCTCTTACGTAGCCACAGTGGGAAAACGCCGAGTAATTAGAGAACACACAAACTCCATAATGTAACTGAGACAAATTAAGCGGTTTATTGTAGCTACTGTGACGGACGGATAGGGCAAGCTAAAAGGAAAATGACAAACACAACGTGGACAGAGTAGAGAGATGGAACTGAATACACAGCAAACAAACTGAAAAGCCAACCAGAAGACAGAAGCAGCAAGGGAGGAGCACGGGGGGTGGGGGGGGAATGGCTTGTTTGGGAATGCAATCACATTGAAACGACAACGTTCTAGTTTTTAGCTTCCTAGCAGATACCCTCCTGCCCGTTCTGATTTAAAACTCAATTCCCAGAACGTATCTGCAAAGCGATCGAATACCCCTAAGGGGCTTCACCCCGAGTAACCAAACCAGCCAGACTAAATTGACCCCCCCTGCCTTTTGCTCATGTCTTGACCAGGCTAGGAACAAGGACTAACATGAAGCCTGTCGCTCCGATCTAAACTTAGATTAATTAACCCAAAGAAGACTCTACAAAGTGCTTGACGTTTCCCATTTGCCGGTGACACAGTCGGTCTGAAAAAAGAATTCATGTTTTGAACAATATTGGGCAAGAGTCGTTTATAGCCGTACTGGTCCAAAATCCCTTATCAGGACCTTTCATGAATAGAAAATGAGAAAACACATGGGTTTTTTTCCCAATGAATTAAGTTGTGAGTAACCTTTCATGCTCCTTGACCTGGATGGCCCAGGCTAGCCCTATCTTATCTGATCTCGGGAGCTAAGCAGGGTCAAGCCCCGGTTAATACCTTGATAGGAGACTTCTAACAAAGTCCGGGGTTGCTGTGCAGAGCCAGGCAACAGCAACCCACCTCTGAATGTCTCTTCCCTGGAAAACCCTATGGCAGGAAAGTCAAACATAAGGCACAGGGGTGGGGTGGGGATGGAACCGGCTCCTCCAGGGCCCTCAAGCAACTGGAATGTATGGAAATATAAGGTATTCCCCCCTTGTATGGTGTCCCTTGGGGAAAAACACTCTAGTCTTTTGCATATGACATACACATTGAGCTGCGGTGGCTCAAGTGGTTAAGACGCTGAACTGCAGGCTGTGGAAGGTCAGTAGTTCAGCAGTTCGAGACCCGAGTTGCCGCATGACGGAGTGAGCTCCCGTCTCTGGCCCCAGCTCCTGCCAACCTAGCAGTTCGAAAGAAAGACATTGCAAGTAGATAAATAGGTACCACTTTGGTGGGAAGGAAACAGCGTTCCGTGCACCTCGGTGTTTAGTCATGCCGGCCACATGACCACGGAAACGTCTTCGGACAGCGCTGGCTCTTCGGCTTTGAAACGGAGATGAGCACCGCAACCCTAGAGTCGGACTCGGCTGGCTTTCGAGCAAGGGAACCTTTACCTTTTTACATTTATTGGGGCTTTTGTGGGTTCCCCAGAAAATCAATTGCTTTCACTGCTAGAAATCAATCGCTTCCGTTTCTATTTTGAGTGAAAAATAATATTGTTAATTGGATTTGCCTTTATAAAGTTTATAGCTACATTTTATGGCAGACATGGCCCAGCAAAGGCAGTTAAGACGAGGAAAGGCTGAGGGAGTTGGGAATGTTCAGTCTGGAGAAGAGGAGGTTGAGAGGGAACAGGATTGCTCTCTTTAAGTATTTGAAGGGCTGTCAAATACAATTAGGAGCTGCGGTGGCTCAAGTGGTTAAGACGCTGAACTGCAGGCTGTGGAAGGTCAGTAGTTCAGCACTTCGAGACCCGGGTGCCGCATGATGGAGTGCGCTCCCATCTCTATGTGCAGCTCCTGCCAACCTAGCAGTTCGAAAGCAAGAAATTGCAAGTAGATAAATAGGTACCACTTCAGTGGGAAGGTAACAGCGTTCCGTGCGCCTTAGTGTTTAGTCATGCCGGCCACATGCCCACGGAAACGTCTTCGGACAGCGCTGGCTCTTCGGCTTTGAAACGGAGATGAGCACCGCAACCCTAGAGTCGGACTCGACTGGCTTTCGAGCAAGGCAACCTTTTACAAATACAATACCTTTATTGGCATAAGAGGCTGTCACTTAGAGGAGGGCAGGGTGCTGTTACTGTCGGCAGCAGAGGAGAGGACTCACAATAATGGGCTTAAATTAAGGGCGGGAAGGTACCGGCTGGATCTTATAGGTGTATAGGTGGTACTGGTATTTAATTACAACTGCAAGGATGACTTATGCTCAATTTTGGAAACAGGACAGAGTGCCAGAGATTTGGGATTGGTTAAAAAAGGTACTATTCATGGCGGAAATGGATAAATTGACAAGAAAATTGAACAATAAAGAAGATGAAGAATTTTATGAAGATTGGAAAGACTTTAAAGACTATATTGAACAAAGATGGGATGTAAAAAATACCTTAATAGGTTTTGAGAGTTATTAGAGTGGAATTCAGAAAATAGAATATTTGAAATGTTTATGAAGTAATGTTACCTAATGAGATGAATTGAAAGAGGGAATTTACAGTGAGGGAAAGAAAGGGAAATAAGGGGAAATCGCACTGTGGGAAGCCAAGCAAGGGGGGAGGGAAGGAGGAAAATTAGAAAATGGATATATTTGAAATGTTGTGGATCAAAATTTTGATAAAGTTGTTATATCCTTTTAATAAAAAGTTTAATAATAAAAAAAAGGAAAAACATTTTTACAGTCAGAGTTGTGCAACAGTGGAATCGGCTGCCCAGGGAGGTGGTGAGCTCCCCCTGACTGGCAGTCTTTAAGCAGCATCTGGACAAATGTCAGGGATGCTCTAGGCTGATCCTGCATTGAGCACGGTGTCGGACTAGATGGCCTGCACGGCCCCTTCCAACTCTGTGATGTCAGATACGACCCTTGTGACAAATGAGTTTGACACCTCACCCCCTACAGGTGGCTGAGACTGGTGGTACTTTCCACCACCACCCCGCCAAACTTTCATAAGTTGTAAATGAAGAGCCCTTCTCCACCCCTCCTTCAACACTGTCCTGTGACAGGATTCAGCACATTTCCTAGCCTTTTCTGAACTTGCAATATTACCTTCTTTATTCCTGTGACCCCGGAAAAGATGGGGATGGCGCTTCCAACGCCTTG